ACTTTTCCTCCCTGAGCAGGCTGGGATGTAGAAATACCATGTTCACTAGGGTATTGTGTTACCCTTTCCAGCCATCCAGCTACCTTGGCACACACCTTTGAGCAATTTCAAGTGTCAGACCAGTCAGTGAGGAAGAGGGACTGATGGTTTACCATTATGTCATAGTTGCTGAACAGACAGACCCACTGTTCTTTCCACTTTACCCTTTTTCCCTAGCATTTTTGGTATTGCTTCAAACCTCAGTGTTTTTATCAAAGCTGAATTATACTAATTGATGACAGAGGAAAATGAATGAAGGGGAAAATAAATAATAAATTGCAAGAAAAATGAATTCACAGAAACCCAAAGTAAAAAGGCTGTGAAAAAAGAAACAAGTCTTTCATTGCCTTGAATAATATAATTATCCAGCAAAGCCTGTTCCCTTCAAATTGTCAAATCTGGTGTGCGCTTGAACTTACTGCATATGCTCCTACTTCACAAAATTCCTCTATCTCCCAGGGGGTTGTGAGACTGAGGCTGGGCAGCAGCGTGATAATTGGTCCTTGAATATTATGGGCAAATGTGAAACTGTGGACATACGCGATATGCCCCAAATTATCAGCTTGCTGCTCTAAGCATTATGAAAATAAAGAAATGAAAGGGTCTTTTTGATAAAGTTTTGATGTAGAGAAAAATACGGGGAATGCATTTTTTCTTCTTTCTCCTCCTCTCACTTCCCTAAGACTGCTAACATAATTTGGTTTTCATTGCATGGTCAGGTAGTCCGTTATACTTTCCCAGCTGTGGCAACATCATGGATGCATCATACGCATCTTTATTATATATCTTTATTTAGAGTCATCACATCTATTGCAGTTTCAACAAATGCCAGCTGTCAGTCCAGAACTTCATTGCGCTTGATGCTGTACAGGTGTGAGTAGTGGTGTTGGCTTGTTGCGCGATATCCTGTCAGTGTTGCATATTTGCTGTCAATACTCTGATCTTCAATCAAAAATTTTAAACAGAACCGAAAATAAAATACAGGAATTGATGCTTTTGTCTGTGCAGGGTTTTAAAAAATAGTCAGAAGCTGGACCTCTGAGGATAACAAGGGTTATTTTTAATTTATGGACTGCTTGTGTTATAGTAGTTCCCGGAAGCCTTCATCGGATTCTGAGTCCCATTTTGTGAGTAGAAGGTGCTGCTGCCAGGAGCCCAGTGTAACTACAGATGCATCTTGGCTGGCGAATGCAGAGTGCAGGAATCAAGGGTGATGCTAACAGAAGCACGGGAGGGGACCGGGACGTCGGTGAGGTGACTCGCAGGGGTGCGTCTGCGTACCCAATAGGCCTCTGTGGTCTCGCTCAACGCGGGGCAGCAGTCGAGCTGAGAAAAGCAAACCTCTTAATCTTGCCCAGTCTTTTCCTCTGACCGAATGTGGACACTCATGTTCCGTGGCCCACGCTTACGGCACGTTATGGAATGCCAATTTTCATTACTTACCTTGGACTGGTTTTTCTGTCCATCTTGCCACTCTTTGCAGAATCGTGCCTTGTTTTCAGTGTGGTGCTGCACTTCAGCATCATGTGAGTCACCGTCCTGGGGCTGCATCTTTCAGATAAGCCCCTTGCAATTTGGCATAACTTGCAAGAGAAGGGATCGTGCGGATGTGATTGTACCCATCCCTATCATTTGGAGTGCAGGCAGTGATTAGCATTGAGGAGCAGCCTGGGGTAGCCTTGCAGTATCAGCTGCTTTGGTTAAGACTACTTTGTTCTGACAGCATTAAATAGGTCAGTGCTCAAAAATACACCACTAGAAGCCAGGCTGGGAAACTGTGCATTCAGCATAGGTATCTACTTCTATTAAATTGCCTTACAGAGCTACACTGAATCATATCCAGAGGACTTGAATAAATATATAGATGTGAGCCTGTGCACTTTTTGTTCACCGTTTCCCCATACAGATGATCTCTGCAATCCACCTACGTGCGTGATGCTGGTATCTGTCCTGTCAGTGATGTGTTCTGTGCCTTGTTCTCATACACCTTCAGTACATAGAAAATTAAGAGGGAAATGACATGGTCAGAGAGCACGTGGGTGAGGAGCAGTGCCTGCTACTCTTGATGACAGCAGTGGTGGCTTTATCTCAGGCTTCAGGCGTGCCAGGATGTGGTGCGTTCCTGTTGCAGTGTATTATGCCAGGTAGGACTAAAATTTTGGAAAGAAGCCCATTGCTACTGCAGTATATTATTTCTGATTATTATTATTATTATGCCTTTTGATTTATTATTTGGAGAATGTGATTACTTTTCCTTCTTCTTTCGGCTGCTGTTGTAGCTTTGTTGTCTGTAAGTAAAAAATGTGATGATGAGCAGCTATAAAGCATTTTGTATCTTCAGAGTGATTAGTGGACAATACATGATAAGCTGTTCTTCTCTCCCACAGAGTTGGTTTGTCTTTGCAACTCCAGGTCTGGGGTTTTTTTCGTTTGTTAGTTTTTTTTATTATTATTATTTTTTTCATTGTTTTGAGCAATGCAGGCTCTGGTACGGAGGACCGGCTATATATAATTTCAGGACTAGAATGTTTGACCATATAAATTCAGTCTCCCACTGGAAAACTTCCCCTTGAGTTGAGATGTGGGTTGGAACAGTTGGCCAGGCAGGGGGGGTTCCTGCTACCCGTTTCACCTGGGTGTGATGAGTTGGCATGCTTTGCACTCTGGCTTTTGATCAGGGAAGAAATGGTCTCATGGCTCTGTTGGTGATGCACTGGGTAGCTGAAGTTCTCATCTTGCCCCCAAGACGGGGAGTGAGGAATAGCTGGCAGGCGCTGAGCAGCCCGAGAGGTGCCGTCGGTGCACGCCTGGCCGAGTGCGGTGGCGGGCGAGCTCCCTGGCCTCTGCCCCATCCCGAAGGAGGCAGAAGGAGGAGCAGCACGTCTCGCTTCCGAGCTAGGAAAAGCTTGTGCTGCTGCCAGCAGCTAATGCTAGTTTTCAGCCTGTTGATGTTAGACTTGTTCCGGCTCAGGACCCCAAACGCGTGTGTCTCTGCAGACACCCGGCTCACCGTGGTGCGCAGGCTGCCCGCCTGTCCTGGGAGGGCCTTTTCCTGCGCTGCTGGGATCGTAAGCTGTGTGTTAGCTCATGTTAAGCGAATCCTGTTCTTGACATAGAGGAAGTCTGCCCTCCCTAGTGACAGTGCCGTGCTTACGGCCAAGTTACAAGTATGTGACAAGGAGAGAGCATATGCTCGTCAGTGCTTCATTGCCAGAAGTCTTCCAATGGATATGTGTTCACATCAATATTGAAGAATATGTTAGTTTACATGGAGAGTAAGAGTATTGACTTCTGTGATAGGTTACATAGAATATGTGTCCCAGTGCTGCAGGTTCTAAATTGATTTAAGGAAAAAAAAAATTGAAAGTAGAGTGGCTCTTTTGGAGCACATATAAAGTTACAAATTTTGGAGCTCTACGGAGATATGAATATATAGATATATACATATTCAATTTGTTGTTAGAATGTGATGACGTAGAAATTATTTGTTACATCAGTTATAGAATACAATACAGCATATGTAGTCCAGCACATTATTCCTTTCCTGTATTTAAAAACAGAAGTAATGCCACTTAGCAGTGGTCATACGTTGCCGTATATTCCTCCTGCTGAGTACAGTACTGGGGGCGGATCCTGCTACAGCTCTGCATTATCCCGATCCTTTTGAAGTTCTCTTTTTTTACGATAGTGTTTTTGTGTAGTTACTTTTCTTCAGATGTGCAAAATATATAGGTTAAAAAGTTAGACTACAATGCAATCTATGTGCAGCTCTTTATACTAAACTTTACATACTGACGTTCATAGCAGGCGTTACCGGCCCAGCTGAGTGCTGTGATACAGAACCTGGGGAGCAGGTGGCTGCTGCATGTCAATAAGGGACATAAGTTTCCCATTCAACATGTATCTTGAGTGCAAAGTTTGACCTAGACTTCAGGATTTTGAGCTTTTTGTAGGAGTTTCTTCCTATAGTGAAAATTTACTTCACCTTCTGTACGAACGCCCGGTCATACACACCTCCATCAGTGGCACTGCTTGAAGTCTAGGTTCAGGTCCTCTTCTGGCTAGGGTTCTGGGTCAAGCGTGTGTTTAAGGTTTGGAGAGAGGGGGATTGATGTTCCAGATTCATCGTGAGTAAACATTCCCTTCACCTTACCTTATCTCTTTTGGAAGATTAAACCCCTGTCTTTCAGTTGGCTCCACGCGAACATAAAGTTGTGTAGGATGCTGGAGTCAGGTTGCTTTGTAAAAAGAAAAGAGGAGTCACTGCATACTTCAGATGTTGCCAGACATCCTGAATAATGTCCCAGACAAAAAAAAAAAATCTAACTCTGGCAATACCTTATTTCCTCTCTTATAGACCATTGTGCTCTGTTTCTGCTTGTGTGTGCTATTCTAGTTTCATATCATTGTATAGCCTTTGTGTTGCCCTGATGAGTAGCTTTTAATAACGTGACTTTTGCCACTTTTTCCCTCTTGAAGCACAGAATAAAGCTTTATGTGAGTGGCACCCACGGCAGGGAGGGAAGTACTTACACAATAGTACTGTATTTACAGGAAGGGGTGATTCTAACCAAGCTTTATAATACCTTAATTATATTTGATGTGACCTAGCCCTTGACAATTTTGAATCTAATGTTGCCAAACAGGATTGAAATACTACAAAGATTTCTGGATAGTGCCCACAACTGAGCTGTATTTCACTGTCAGTAAGAAAGTGAAGAGGTTCTTTGAAAGTGGGGAGAGATGTTTTTCTTTGGATTTTTGCCTTTGACTTAGTGCACCTGATCGGTAAAGCCAGGTTATTTCTCTGCTAAATTCTGCAGAAATTTTGTGCTAGCAACAATATGTAAAACCCACTGAAAGAAATTAAATAAATATTTTAAAAAGTATTTTATGAATCTGACTGGGGTGGGGGTTTCTATTTCTTGCATGTTTTCTTAGTGACATGAATTTCCTTTCAGGGCTCAGCAGATTCGTACACAAGCAGACCCTCAGACTCTGATGTCTCTTTGGAAGAAGACAGAGAAGCAATCCGCCAAGAAAGAGAACAACAAGCAGCTATACAACTTGAAAGGGCAAAGGTGTGTTCTTTTCAACTTTAATAATAACTAAGTTGTGTGGCATTTATCTTTTGCCTAGTGTTAAAATTCATACTGTTGTTTTATAACAATGATGCCAGCTTGTGAAATAGTTTGGCAATTGAGTCAAGTTACCTGCAGACAAAATGTTTGGGGGAATACAGTGTAAATATTCTTGTATAAATGGGAATCTTCTCTAGGGAGCTGAACTCTGTGGGCTTGTGTGAAATGATTAGGTCTGAATTTTGATGTATTTGGAAAATGTCCTCTTCTAGGTTTTTGGTCATTTGATACAATCCTTGATTCGGAAAAGCTTCCGCTGTTTGTGATGTGTGTTTCTCTTTGTAGTCCAAACCAGTAGCATTTGCTGTTAAGACTAATGTGAGTTACTGTGGAGCTCTGGATGAAGATGTTCCTGTCCCAAGCACTGCCATCTCTTTTGATGCCAAGGACTTCCTACACATTAAAGAGGTAAAAGCAAGAAGTCATAAAAGGGAATGTGAAAGGAAATCTTTTTACATGTCAAGGACTACAACTTGAAAAGTCGTGCCTGAACCATAGCAGATTAAAAAGAGAGCCAAGAGCCAGACGGAGGCTGGAGAGCACAGCACATCTGTCTGATTAGTGATGATGTGGTGGTACTTCAGCCTTTTTAGAGTTCCAGCATCCTGGGGTGGTCGTCTTGCACTTTTTTAACACCTGATATTACTGATTTGGTTTTGGATTTTCATGTCACAGGAAGGAAATAACATCTTGCTTGATTTTAAATCCCCTTCAACATGGTAGATTCAGATTCTTTTCATCAAATGAAGTTTGTGATGGATCAGAGATCACATAATAGAGAGGGATTCTATTGATCAGAAAGTAGAGTAGCACCAGGTCACACCAGGTCCTCATAAAGCACCAGATAGGCTTGTAAGGGAGGAAATAAGATTAAGAATAACATAATAAGAAAAGAAAACGTTGAAGAGGACAGATACAAAAATAAGGAAAAAGTAATGGGAATAAATGGGTCCTGAGTGTGGCTCTGGTAGAGGAAAATACATTTTATGGCACGTCAAGCATATTTTTTGCAATTCTTTATCCAAAGTGAGTCCTCCAAATTTGCATAAACCCCTGTTGTTTTGTAGATTTCTACATAGGCTTGCAAAAACGTTTTTTCATGTCTGCATTCTGGGTTTATTTTAGGGTGTTCAGTACTCATTGGTCTCTTTCTTTGAACATGTGTCTGTCATCACTTCAGAGCATTGATCTCCCTTAGAGTGAGCACATTTAGGAAGAAAACACCTGTTTCTGCACCTCTGGAGGCAGAGATGGGTGGTAGAACAGGGGGTTTCAATTTAAATTCTTTCTCCCTGAGAATGGAGGAGGAGGCAGTTGATTCCCTGGTTCCATTTTCTCAGTTTGCTGCAAACAGGTGGAAGTTTGATTTGGATTTTTTTTGTTTGATTCTTTTGTGTGGAGCAGTGCTTAAACCCCCGCAGAGGAAGTGGAGCACACTGAATCTGACTGCCTATCTCTGCATGCAGAATTGATTGCCTCTCCTTTTGGTTCCCCAGGAATGTGTTCTGTTCTTCCTAGCACCACACCTGAATTCCCTTGATACATGCCATTTTCTAAACTTGCTTCCCATCAGGAAAAGGTGCTTTGCTGGCACTGAAAGTTGAATGCAGGCAGCTGCGTCCATTACAGCACTCAGATCACTTTCTCAGCTACCTTCCCTGATGTTTTCCCACCCACACCAGAAATGTGCCCTACCTGACATGCTATCTTTGTGGTGTACATTGTCCTGTGTAACCATTCAGGTAACTCTGTGCATCGCCATTAAACCAAATATTTGATCTTGGCTTTCCTAGGATGTGGCTACCTTTCTTGTCAGGCCAGTGATTGAATTTAGTGTACTAAACTCCTTTTGTGCTGCCCTGTACATTTTTCCAGAGAAGTGACCCAAATCCACGCGGTGGCATTCTGTGAGTTTTCTTCCAAGATCTAAATGGCCAGGATCGCATGGCCACTAAACCATAAGCCATCTGGCTTACTGGTATTTGTCAGCTCTGCTGAGGGTTTAGCATAGTTTCTTTGTTAATGCTGAAACCTTCAGCTTGCCTGAAGCTGTGGCTGTAGTTCAGTAGGATTTCAGGAGTGGTTCCCCATGCTGGAGTCTAGCTGCATGGAAAAAGGCTTTGCAGAATTAGTTTTTCGGTGATCTGGCAGGCTTGCTTGGCCTAGAACAAGCATGGCTCCAGATTTTTGAACAGTGCTAAACTAGGTAAGAAGTAAGGTCACCCTGCTGACAGGATGAAACATCAGCAGTAGCTGATGAGTTGCTATATTGAGAATGTGTCCTGTATGTCTCATCTGTCTCCTACAAGACTATACATTATGTGCTTACTTAAAAGATGAAGTGGCAACAATTACTGACAACGCAGAAGAAATCATGGGCATGGCAACCAATAGGAATGAACTGTAGTCCTCCCACATGCTGAATGCGAAGAGTAACATATGGGAGGTAATGACCTAATGCAAATAGCCCTGTGTTCCTTGCTGCATCGTTATCGTTTGTATTGTTAGATATTCTCAGCATAACTGGTTCTGATCTCGTGTCTAGAGGCATCACTCAGAGATCCATGACCTGCTAATGGAAGAAAGATTCCCATGTTCAAGCTGTACATTCAGAACCAAAATAGAATGGGTAATGCTGATGGGGCTTGGGTTTTACAGTGGTTTAAATCCATTGGTTGATTTCACTGATTTACAAAAATAGAATGCTAGACCCTGAAGTATTTGCTTTAAAGAATGTAAATAGTTCTGTCGACTTAAGTGGAAGCAACATACTTAAAATTAAGCATTGCTTACTGACATTGCCTGACTCAGGGTCATAACAGCGTGAAAAATAGATCATTAAAAAGTTGAAAAGATAAAATAATGGAACCTCTTGCGTAAATAACAGCTATATAAAGAGGACAGGTTTTCAAGATGAGGGTATAAGGATTGCATTTCCCTTAGCTGTATATGTTAATATTTGTGTGTATGTATGGCTTAATAAAAAGGCTAACTTATTTTTCGAAGATGCTGAGGCTCTGTATGTTTCAGAGACTTTAGTTAGGCACCGTGGTACCTCTGACAACTGGGACATGGTATTTATGTGTTTCTGCAACAACTGAAGTGCTTGAGAATCCGGAGCCAAGAGAACTGATCGTTTTTAAGATGAGATTTCTGTGATAACTTTTTCCTGAAGGCATGCAAACAAAATTGGTACACTCATGCTGATCTTAATGACTTGAAAGTCAGTTGTGAAAAGAAGTGTTTCTTCTGAACACTGAGGTGCCTAATGAAGCATACCAGAGTATAAGGTTTTCAGATATTTTTCTTCAAAAGTGCTGCTGGCAGCCAGCTCCAACAAATTCTTTCGTACTACCTTATCCACTATGATACCACTTTTCATCTTTCCATCATTAAAGGTAGGCCAGACTTTCAATAATGCAGAAAAATATATGTTACTAAAGGTTAATGATAAATTTTATACTTTCAGGTATATATTAAAGTTTCTTCCTAGAGGTGATTTTTTTCTTCAACTGTCCTACATTTAAAAATATATGCCTCCAAAGAGTTTAACTTCTTCCAGGCAGCAGCACTGTAAAAGCCTCGTTTGTGGGGAGGTGTCACAACTTTGGTTAGAGCTCTACCACAGCGTTAACCAGATACAGGTTTGGTTCGAGCTGATAAGTGTTTTCTATTTTGTTTTAGAAAGGTTGGTCTGTCTTCATCTCAGTTTCTAGAATGGTGTTTGTAGAGTTTTTTTGCAACGGGCTAACATGTTAATAACATCCAGACAAGTACCTGGAAAGGAGGGAGGAAAAATGGTGGCAGCAGTGGTGGTGGTCTTTGGTGGAGACTCTTAAATTTTACAAGGAACCAATAATGGTGGTTTACAAGGACCATTAAATTTTACAAGGAACCTATAATGGTGGTTTACAAGGAACCTTGGTGGTGATCTGAGGATGTTATTTTTATGTTCGACTGCTTTCTGTGGCTGCTGTGAGGTAGTTTGGTGGCCTTGGTATACCAGAAATTGGTTCGTCTCATTAAATCACCGTCACATTTGGCGCCTCAGATGGTGACATCAGAGAAGAAGTCACAGCAGGATGTGTTGGGGCAGTTAAGAGATAAACCAGTACTGCTCCAGATAACGCTGCTTGCCGCTCTACAGCTGCAGAGAAGACATCAACCTTCCAACTAGTGCCTAGCACCTTTTAACTTCGCTTAAATTCACACGAATTGTCCAGCATTTAGATGTCATAGTGAGTCTGGTCTCATTGATCAGTATGGAGTTAAGGATTGTGGATAGCAAAATAAGAGAGTTTTAGACAGGGAGCGTTTTGAACTGAAGCCAGTAACCTTTCTCTCTTCCAGAAATATAATAATGACTGGTGGATAGGAAGGCTGGTTAAGGAGGGCTGCGAGATTGGCTTTATTCCAAGCCCGCTTAGACTGGAGAATATCCGCATTCAACAGGAGCAGAAGAGAGGACGTTTCCATGGAGGGTAAGAATGCTGTAACCTTTTAAAATAATTTAAAATAATTTCTGACACCGGGCAATATTTTCAAAGGTCACTTGATTCTTTTTTATTGCAGTGCCTTTGGAGGAGTGTTTGATTTGGGATTCCAAATGAAAATACATATTTGCAGAGAATAGACGTGTTAGATATTGATGAAGAGAAACAAGAAAAAAATGTGTATCGACTTTAGGAAAGATCAGTAATACAGTATGAGCAGTAATGACAGAAATGTCTGAAGGGCTAGAGAGTTTTATGTTCCCGTGGGTTTAAGTCAACTTGGTGCTCAAAGGCTGCTAGATTTTTTTCCCCGTTACATTCTTAAGGTTTTGGGTTTTTTTCTTTATTTTTTTTCTTTCTCTCCATTTTGGCCAAAACCAGACTTTTCAAACTTCATAGAGATGAGCACTGTCATTTGACTTGCTTGATTCTTCATCTTCCAGCCTGACCATTCTGTGTCTCCACACTGCTAGAGCTAGATATTGAAAGTGCCTGGAAAAATATAAACTTGGTCTCATTTTAGTCACTGAAGTCACTCTTCTGTTGGCTGAATACACAAAATACTTTTCCCTTTTTTTTTTTTTTTTTTTTTTTTTTTTTTTTAAATTACTTTATTACTAGCATATTATTCCCACTAATTGAAAACAAAATTTAAATATTCACACAGATAACAATGAGAACAAAACCTTTAGTACTGCAGAGTAAAGAGACATGAGCCAATTGAATCTGGACCTAATAGGTAGCAGTAAGAGGTGCATAATTTAGCCTGTATAGTACTGTCAGGGAATTGGCATACTAATATACTTAATCAGGGTCAGGAATCATTTCAAGTATAAACCATCTGGGAAAATGTTTTTAGAATGATTGAACAGCATTAACTGTGCTTCTTCCAAATTGCTTTTATATTTTTGAAATAGCTTCAGAGGAAGCCAGTGCATCTCAATGGACGGGAAGAAGATTATCTAATTCAGAGAGATGGACACTAACAGAGGATTTAGGATACTCTTTCAGATACAGTGTATTCGAAAAATGTTCCGCTTGTATGAATGGGCATGACTCCACCGAATCACCATTTTTTCCACAGATTTTGTCCAATCTCACCTATGGAGAATACTATGAATAAAATCAAGTATGACAAGAGCCAGGGAAAATATTGTAGAGGATATCTATTAAGATTTTAAGTAGTCTACATTAACTCTCCTGGATTTGTTTGATAAAGTTGGAAGTAATGTATAATGATAAAATAGTTTCTTTTTGAGCACCCTTGTTAGATATATAGTATCTGTACCTTCAGATTTCTTGAAAAGCTGTGACTAGCTGTGATACTAAGGCTCTCTGTGACGAAGAAGAGTGATAGCTTTTTCTGAGGAAGGCAGTGCAAAGTTGTCTATTAAAGAGCGTTTCTAGGGTCTAGTATATGTTCGCAAAGGATTTGCCAAGTCCGGGAGTACAGTCCCTGCTCTGGAGAGCATATGGCAAGAAAGCAAGGACAAAATACTGATTTGGCCTAGTGTCCTCTTGCTGCTCTGTCTGTACGTAATGAAAAATACTAACTACTGTGCTAAAGACGCGGGTGGTACCATGGGACCGTGTCACCTGCAGGAATCAGGTTGCTTAAACAGTCCTCTCCTTTCTGCCCTGAGCTCTCCTTCCCTCCTCCCGTCTCCTCCTCAGCTGCTTGTGCAGTGAGCTGAATTACAGAGCTGATTCACCTGAGCATCTCCCCCCTCCCCAAACCAGTTTCCCGTCCCAGTCTGCTGCGGGTTGGCTGCACCAGCAGTTGTGCTGAGAGCATCGGGCAGGGTACAGGGCAACGCTGTCTGCCTGGAAGCAGAGAGGGACAGCCCATGGAAAAAAGAGCTACTTAAACCCCTGTTGCTACACAAAAGCTCTTTAAACCACCACATAAGATCCCAAACCTCCCAAGAGATGGGTCTGGCCGGTCGTGTGTGCTGGCAGAGAGACCCAGAGAGACCGAGGAGTGCTGGGGGGGGTGGAAATCTTGTGCAGAGCTGGGCTGTGTTCTGAGTTTAGCAGACATCTGTGACTAGAGCTGCTGCGTTCCCCAGCCTGCGGGCACATCACAGAAAAGCTTTGCTCAGTCTCTCGTGGAGCCTGCTCTCCCCTCGTAGCCTGTACACAGCTCTTCCAGACATGGAGGTCAGCTTAATTACAGATGCTTTTCCCCGTGTCCCTGCCTGGTACTCTTCACCTCTCACTTCAGAGGAAGCTTTCTTGCAGCATGAATGTGGGTGAAGACTCTCCTTTACCCTGTGATTTCTCATGGGGCAGCTGCCTAAAACCTCACACGTTGGCATCTCTGGGCGCTTGGTGTTAATGGGGCTCTTTCTGCTACCACAGGAAATCAAGTGGAAATTCTTCTTCGAGTCTTGGAGAAATGGTTTCTGGCACATTTCGAGCCACACCTACTTCCACGGGTAAGACAGAAATTTATTTAAGGAAACTCTTGCTATTTCTAATACTTCTATTCTAAAAACTGTGTATGAAAAATGCAGGTTTCCCCCCTTCGCTGACTTATTAAGACATTTTACAGAAAAGTGCTTGCGTGCGGAGGTGGAGAAAGACTTCTATTTCTAGACATGCGGTAGTTGCTAAGGGACTGGGGGAAAAAATCTTGGGAAAAGTGGCAGCTGCCCCAGAATGGAAGGAATGCCCAATTTAAACAGGGCTGACCAAAAGAGAGGTGCACTGAGAGAAATCAGAAGGGCATTGACAGAGGGCTTTTTGTTGGCAAGTGTTGTGGTTGTTACATGCAGTGTGTGTGTTTTTTTAACCGAGTTCTCATTTGGTCTTTTAGCAAAACAGAAACAAAAAGTGGTAAGTAGTACTTTTGTTTCCATTTTATTTAATTCTAAGACATAATTCCTAGGATTTTCATATGGATCTTCTTTGGTTAACGATCTGAAGGGTTGTTTTCTTCTTCTAGACAGAACATGTTCCCCCATATGATGTAGTACCATCAATGAGACCTGTTGTCTTGGTGGGTCCGTCACTGAAAGGCTATGAGGTATGTATTCCAGGTATTTGCAGTTAATTAGTATGTTCTTACCTATAAATCTTCTTTAGTACATTCAGTGTGTCTGGTCCAGTGCAACCGTTTTATGACAATTTAAAGTGATCTTAGCTTAAATAACTGTTGAAAATTTTAATTTAAGAACTAAGAGCATAGTTAGCACTTTGCACCGTTGGGGTGAGGTACCAGCTGAATTTTTTTCTACCTTGCAGCAGTGTCTGTTACTTGTCATGTCTCAGCTGAAGGGTGGGTATCATAAGTACACTCGTGCCCTCTTTGCAGTTTTACTGCTGGAAACACAGTGCACGTCCATTATTTTCTGTACAGTTATTCCTGATTAAATCAAGTAAGAAAAAGAAAATTGTGTCTGCTACAAGAAAAAGTTGGAGCAGTCAAATTCACCAGCTAGACTTCTGTACACATGTAAAATTTTAGTCAAATTAGCACCTGCTTTGACCTTAATTAACAAAAATTTTGAAGAAGCTTCTCCATTGTTCTCCTCTTTTCACTTATAAAAACTTTACATCTTCCCATGAAACTCAGTGTTGGCCAATTAAGTATTGCAGTTTTGTTCTCCAGCACCTGGAACTGAATATGGGAACTCACGATTATTATTTCAGCATGTTTCCTTGACATTTATTTTTTTAAAGATTATTAGTATATTCAAATATATATATAAAGAAACCTTTAACCCTTCTAAATTATTTGCCTCTGTTTAACGTGGAAGTCGGTGTGATAACATGCACAGATAACCAGGACACCCATTTTTCAAGACTGCTGCAGATTCAAATGAGCATTTAACATGTGCTAAACGAGCATAGCTTTTAGTAGGGCATTTTGGTGAACTTAACCATCTGTTAAGTGTTTTGCTGAATTAGGAACTAAATGAACATGAGCATAAAATCGAAGATACACTTCATTTAGCTTAATTAATGTTGTTAGGACTTTATAGGAAATTATTAAACGTATTGGAATGGTTCTTTTTGGAAGGTTACAACATGGTACCATTATTAGCATAATGCAGCGTGCTTGCATTGTTTTTTTGGTAAGAATGATTTAAAGTGTAGTTTAGCAGAGCAGGAATTTGGTACTTCCTGTTCTACTCTCTACCATTTAATTTTGTGATGGTGTTTCTTGACAGGAGTAAATCTCCTCCACTGACTTCCATGGTGCTGCACTGCAGTTTAATTTGCCTAGAGACTCTCAAGTTCGGAGGAGATAGAGGCTTTTTGTTCATACATACCTCTGCAAATACACCGCCCCACCTTTGTTTAAGAAAATAACACTAAACACGACATCTTAAACGTATAAAGGTGTATAAATGGTAACGCGGTTACAATATTAATTTCAGTTACAATTAGTGGTCTACATAACAGAAACGCATTGCTCTTACTTCGTAACCTACATGGGAAAATTCTTTTGACTATTTTTTTTCCCCAATTAAATTCTGTAAGAACCGTTTTGAAAGACAACCTAGCAGAAATAACCTGCCAGAGGCCTGGGGGCTTTGCCTAAGTTCCTATCGAGACTGGCAGATAATAGGTGTCAGGCCAAGTTGTCCTGAAAAGGACTAGGAGCTCACTCAATAAATTAGATGACAGCTGCTGAGGCTGAGCTTCTCTCCAGATGCTTTCCCTTGTACAGGGATGGAAACGTTAATTTTTTCTGGTTGTAGACCTCTCTGAGAATATTGTTCTTTTCTGTTCAAACAGTCATCCAACAGCAACTTGTATCTGAAGTTTTAAGCCAGTTCTAATTAGGTTACTGTAGGAAAAAAACAAATGATCTGTTCAACCCAAAGAGTCCGATACGCTTCTGACATGTTCTGAAGGCTGTTGGGGATGGTGTTGCTATGGAAGGTGGTGAGGTGTGCTCTCATGCCTCAGTGCAAGTCAAGACAAGAGCAGAAAGAGTGACAGCTCTCACGTCCTCCGTTCCGCGGCGTGGAGAATGAGTCAGAAAACTTGAAAGTGTTTATTACAAAGCGTGCTGCCAAGAACATGAAAATTAAATGACTGCTACCTATAAAAGGTATTGATTGTTGGCAGTATCCTTACCTTCTACTTACCTCTTTTCTTACTTTTGACTTCTTTTTCTCCCTGTCAATCCTCCCTGTTCAATCTTCCTCACCTCTGCAAAGGTGACAGACATGATGCAGAAAGCTCTCTTTGACTTCCTGAAGCACAGGTTTGATGGGAGGTGAGAACCACTGTCCTTTTCATGCTTTTTTTTTTTTTTTTCCCCATGTGTTACTAACATTTTAGTGATTTTTTTTTTTTTTTTTTTAATGCAAGAAGATTGATGCATGTTCAAAATTGATTTACTGGCTTTGTATCGACACTGAAATGGAGCCAGCTGTGGGGTGGAACACAGCTGATGTGTTACTAGAAGTGCATGTATCTTCATATCTGCTATGTCTGTAGTAGGATTTCTTGAATTTAATAGAATAATTCTGCCTCAGTGTCATACCAGCTTGAAGTTACAGGAGAAATCTAGATGAAAAATGACTGGGGCACATCATGGAAAGGGCCAAAATATCTTTAAAGGTGGCATTACCAGGCTCAGGTTGTGAAGCAGGCTGTGCCCCTTGTTCGGCCGGGAATCGGGGCGAACGGTGCCAGTCCATGAACAGCCTTTTCGGCAGAGCCCGGCTCCTGGCTCGCTGCTCGCCCTCTTCCCTCCGAGCTCCCAGCCTGAGCTGCCTGCGTGTTGGGTAAGTGGAACTGAGTGGATTGCTTTCTTTTTTCAAAGAGCTGTCCGGTTCCTTTTGTGGGTTGAACACTTGAGAAAGCATGACTGATTGGACGTAAAAGTACCGTTTTATTCACAATCCTTTGGGCCTAAGAAAATTTCTTAACCGTTGGCTGCAAGAAGTGTGTACTGCTGGACCCGCTCAGCCAGCTGCTGAAGTGTGCAGACACCACATAAGAGTGCCTCTTGATTTGATTGTAAAGTTGCTTTCTTTGGGATAGGCTCATTCCAGCTCCTTTTGTGAAGTTCCAGACTCCTGTACAGCAGGGTGTTCTCTACATAAAACTGATCACGCCCTAGCCCTGAAGTAAGTATCAGAAACAGCAGATTTCACCATGTGCAGTAACGGTGCTTCAGACCAACACCTAAGGAAAATCAACTCTTAAATATTCTCAGTAGTCAAAAATACTTAAAAAGGCAGTTTGAAGAAGGAAATGCGGAGAACTAAAATACAGAAAAAAGTGTGTCAGAACTTCAAAAATTGTAAGGAGGATTCATCTTGTTCAGCTGGAACACAAAGAGTGTTTCCTGATGAGCTGTGAGAGGGATAATTCGGATATCCTTGCTAGGAACACAGGCTTGGTCCGTGGCATCTCTCCTTTCCACAGGAGATCATCACTAGTCATAGGTATCGGCTACATCTTTGAGATGTTCTGCCCTTCCTTCGTCCCAATTTGTTCAGCATATTCTAACTGTGAAGAGGAGCTTATACTGTGCTAGCTAGTGTGTGACAGTAAGCCAGGCTTGAAAATACCTAAAATATTGGCACTATGACAGGGAAAATAACAGTGTCTGTTGTTTAGAAGAAGTGGAATAGGATTTACAGTCCAGGTGTCTTTTGGGGTGCAGTGAGGAGACGACAGTGCTGAACTAACCCATAAACAGCTGAGACAAAACGATTCGTCATCAACTTCTGTGCGAAATAGCTCATCTCCTCCCTTATTTTTAATTGCCCAGCTCCAGTGATTTTAGCAGATCTTACAAACGTAGTGATTGATTTAAAGCCTGACAGATGAAGCACTTGTACGTGGCAGCCTGCAGTTAAATTTGTCACTTCTCTGAGCTGCTCGTGTGTCCTGTCAGTGCCTCCTCTCCCCACTCCTGAGCAGTGTGAGTGCTCTGGTTCCACCACAGCTCGCTGCACGAGCTCCGGTGCCCGTTTGCATTAGGTGTACGTATAGAACAGCAGCATACGTTCTCTTCCAGCTGTTGGCATATGTCTGTCAGCTCTGCGTGTGCCCGTGGTAACTGAGAATTATTGTTTCCAGTAGGAAACCATAGCAACTGGAAGTGATAAGTCATCTCCAGTTGCTGCGATGTGATGGCTATGAATATATCCTTTGTGAGGTATATTTTTATACCCTGTATGAGCAGAGGCCTGATCCACAAAGATCAGCAGTGCCTAAATACAGAGAAGAAAACACAAAGCACACTTAGACCTACCCGTTTAGTCTGCTTAATCGGGTGGGAGGCAGGACTGCTCTTTGCCTTCCTCTTCTGTCTTTACCCCCACCGTGCCCTTGGTCTGCACAGAGGGAAAAAAGGGGAGAGATTCTGCCTGGAGGGAGGTATTTTTTGGAAGTCCTGTCGCCATTAGCAATATTGGCAGCTAGATCGGGTAGAAGGATGAAATTTCAGCACTGAAGAAGTTAAATGCCACAAGCAAGCCGATAAAATTGACTTGAGCTCTGAGTAACTTCAGAAAAATGAATTCAATTCCTTTTCAGGCACCTCAGCTGCTTCTTGGTCTTCCTGCCAACTTTTATGGCTTTGCAGTCTTTCTCCTCCCCCCCCCCCCCCCCCCCCCCCCCCCTTCCTTTCCTTTTCTTTCTTTCCATCTCTTCTGCAATTTTGTGACAGGTTCACATTACCAAGAAAGGAAATGCCTGTCCAAGGAGGAGCTTTTTGAAAGACTTCAGTAAGACTCGAACTAGCAGGAGTCCTTCCCTACCTCTTAACACACTCAGCTTCTGTCAGCTCCTTCTTTTGTAACTGCAACATCCTCTTCTGGCCAGTGAACTAAAGGAAAGGCCCGAGGGCTGTGTTTGTTCTGCAGGCCTGCTGAAAGGAGTCTGCTAAAGCTTGGCTGGCACAAGGCATTCAGGGAATGGCTGCTTCGGCATGGTTTTCGAAATGCATTGTGTTTAATCACTGCTGCATAGACCAAGCCTGACTCTATACACCCTTTAAACAAAACATAGCAAAGGCGTATTTTTTTCTTAACATCTTTCAGCAACAGTGATGCTTAGGATTACTTCTTACTGGGGAAGAATGAAATGCTTCTTCTGTCTGGCACAGTAGGTGAACGTTTGTGGTCCGTTCTGTGTCTGTGATTCCTGCAGTCAGAGATCTAGGAGCTCCCTGAGCCAGAGGTGCAATCTGGGCCACTGTGTTTTATCATCACCTCTAGACCTGTGATCCATTAATTTCTCCCATTTCTTTTTTAAACTCATTTATACTTTCAGTCTACTGTTTTTCTGACAATAAATTTGTTTGTGTATTATGTCGAAAAATCCTTGCACTTCTTTTTAACCCTCCATCTGATAATTTCACTCAGAGCTGCGTATGTCTTACATTCTATGCAACAGCTGCTAGTCATTTCCAGTTTGCTTTCTTTTCATTATTCATGGCTCTTTGGCTCATCACAGTCCTTCTAAGTGGATTTTACGTGAAGTGATTATATGGTCTTTGTTTTATTACCTTTTGTCTCTTGTCAGCTCACTGACAGATCAAGTAAAAAAAATCACCTTCCTTAAGTTAAAGAGGAGGCTCCAGCAGTACAAATAGCTGTGGCTCAACTTGCTTTTCTCCTTTTCAACCGTGAGCCGAGTCATTGAGCCCGCCGGCCCAGCTCCCTGTCTGGAAAAGGAGAGTGTGTGTTGGAGGCCCGGTGTCCCAAAGCAAGCAGCTCTGTGCGGTGACTCACAGGCGCTCCGAGAGGAGTGACGTGGCCCTTCCTTACCTCTCCACAGCGTCAGGTTTAATCAGGGGTTTAACTACCTGGGAAGAGAAGTGCTGTTACTGCTATGACCGTGGTGTTCTGTGTGTCCTAAGACTGGCGTAACTTGCAGTATTTATGTCACTGTGTAAATTTGTGCAGGAGATGAGTGAGTTGGGGAGGAGAAAAGTTAACTAATGAGTTAAGTAGAACAGCAGAAACTATATGCCAGATTCTGCAGCATTGTAGGGAATAGAAAATACAGCTATGCAGCATTTTTTTTTTTAGTTGTTCTTTAAAGATGACATAACTCAGCTATAAAACATGTCTGAGTGGTATTTTATTGTATTTGCACTTTGGAATGGAATGTAGCTGTAAATCATGCACAGTGCACCGAAAATTTGACTCCTGTGTTTTTGTTCTGTCCTGTGTTCTTACTCATAGGATATCAATAACTAGAGTGACAGCTGACATTTCTCTTGCTAAGAGGTCTGTTCTAAATAATCCAAGCAAGAGGGCAATAATTGAGCGGTCAAATACAAGATCCAGTTTAGGTAAGACATTGACACAGATGTTATTCTGAACGTGGTACCATACTGGAGAAAAGTGACAGGATTTCAGCCTTCAAGGTGTCATCAGTTCTGCATTTTTAAATGTGTCTACAGGGTTTTAATGTGTAACTCTGAATTTCACATACCGAAAGGGGAGACAAATTTTTCCTGGCTGAGGAGGGGCAACAGAGCACAAGGTACTGTGTTAGCCTCACGTTAAGTGATTACACAAGCAGTATTATGGCTGCTGTTTGCAAAAAATGAGTTAAGGGCCTGTGGTCAGAAAATGGGTTCGGTGCTCTTTCCTCCCAAGGTGAGTTGGCCTCAGCTCCCTCTTCTCAGCCCTGTGCTTTTAATTCCACATCACAAGGTGCCAAAGAGCTTTCACCTTGCCCAGCCAAGAAGGAAACGCATTGCTCCTGACCCTGGGACTGGTTTTGTATTTAATGTTGAACAGCTACAGCTTGATTTCGCTATCTAGCCATGAGACGCTGGGTCTTCCCGCCCTTTCCTCACAGTGTCATGACTGCTGTGTTCTACCGGCCTGATGAATTCTTATTTCTTTCATAAGGGTGGAAATTTGTGTGTAGTACATACATGACAGTAACCTGGTCTCTGGCACACCATCCTGGGAGGTAGGAGGAGTTGGTTTTCAGTCTTCTCCAGAAGAAAAAGCTCTTAAACCCAGTTCTCTGATCCCCTGAGTGACTGTTGGAACTAGAGGTGTAGGCTGTAGGATGCTTGACTTGTAGTTGGCATTCTAGTACAGGAGTAGGCACCCCAAAATGAAGTGCTGCAAAGGTGAGTACTAGATTTTCTTGTGCCTGGGACCACGCGTTGCTCTGTGGAACAGCTCTTTGGCAAATTAAATGCATGTGAGTTGCTGACATAAGGCTCTTTTGTGCTTTGGTGGTATAACTTACAGGCTTCAATTTGTGCTGTTTGTTCAGTTGTGCTATTTAAAATTCATCACATGCATGTGAATGATTAAGAAGGGCAAGAACAATGAATATCAGAAATATAATTTACATGGAAATAAATCTTTCCTTTTTCTTCAGACAAAAATGCTTTGGTGTGAACATTGCCATTAGTGTCTCTTAAAGCAGTATCCTGTCAATTATTTAACATAAATGATTTTTTGTGGTTATAGAATTAGGAGATCACAGTTCTGCTTCTCATACAGGCTCTTAAGTTAAATCAAAATTACAATCTGAGAACAAAAAAGTTTTAAGAAACATCCATACATCATTTGCTGTCCAAAATAAAAGAAATCTAACGACTCTTAAGCTATTTAGCAGATTTAGAAAATATGCTTATGTCTGTTTTATGGTAATAGAAACATGCATTTAATTGTATCCAATGTTTAAATACACTGATACTATAAAGGAACGTAGTGTGAATGTATTTTCAGGCAACGGAATTATCTCAAAGATAATACCTATTTAAAAAATTTGCCAGGAGTAATAGGTTATTTTATGGAAATTACATTAATTCACATATGGAGTTCATATACTGAATGCATGCAGTCCGTGAAAATAAATGGGTGATATTATTTTTGTCTGAGTAATGCTGGGGCTGAGTGTCTTTCACCTCTTCTATTTTCCGTTCCTAGCTGAAGTACAGAGTGAAATTGAGAGAATCTTTGAGCTGGCAAGGTCCTTACAACTGGTTGTCCTAGACGCAGACACTATCAATCACCCTGCACAACTTATCAAGACATCTTTAGCACCTATTATTGTCCATGTTAAAGTGTCTTCGCCAAAGGTAATGTGTCTCACCCTTAAAATGTGCATTTGAGAGGGACCTGGAGGGCACTGTGGGAGAGAGCAGTGTGGTATCTGTACATGAAGAATTTAAGAGTGAGAAGAAGGGAAAAAAAAGTAAAATTTTTAGATCAAGGTCTCCACAAGGGAGTATGTGATGCACTTTATTTTTTTTGGCTTTAAACCTTAACCTACCCTGAGGCTGAGCCTTAGATGAGGCACCCAGCGATTCAGTAGACAAAACAATCCCTGAGGAGGAAATTCTTTCTGTAGCTCTCAGTTTCCCTTGGCAGTCCCTTTGCAGCCCCCCTGCCCCAACACAGCTGTAGTTCTGGGCTGTCTCTCTGCAAGCCCTGACCTTCCGCTGAGCTTCAGAGAAGACACCCAGCCCTTTGCCCACTTCCCAGGCAGCTACTGATGGTTGTCTGTTGATCACAAACAAAGCCTGATTGTTTTTGTCTGTGGCTTCTGCCTGGGGCGTGTTGATACACCATCCACAGCTGGACCAGTGTGGCCGGGCTGCTGGCCAGCTGCTGCCAAGGACCCCCCAGTGCGGCACGGACCCCACAGTGACCATGGCTGTTAGTGCACAAGGGGGACTGGAGTCACAAGAGAGACCCTGGCTCTCGTGGGATCAACACGGCGATGGTGGGGTGCTGCCCAACACCTGCTGGAGTGACCACCACGGCATGTCAGAGGTGTCTGAGGAGAGCCGGGCGCCAGTTCTGGGTGCAGGTGACCAGCAAGGCATGGGGGAGGTTCTGCTGGACCTGCTACTGGGGAGAAAAAGGAAGTAGACAGAGTTGTGAAGGTCCAGGACAGCCTCAGCTGCAGCGACCATGAGACAGTGGAATTTAAGATCCTGAGAGAAGTGAGCAGTACAAAAAACAGAATTGCAGATCTGGACCTTAGAACTGGTTTGTTCAGGGACCTGTTCAGCAGGATCCCATAAAAAAGTCTGTCTTGGATAAAAAGGAAACTCAGGAGAGCTGTGTGATCTTCATGGACAGCTTCCTCCCAAGCACAAGAGTGATCTGTTCCTACACAGAGCTGGGCCAGAGAGTGGTGTGGATGAACAGGGAACCAGCCTGAGCTCTAGAGCAAAAAGGAGGCACCCAGAAGATGGATGCAAGGACGGGCATCCCAGGAGGAATACACCTTGGGGGAGAGGGGAAGTTAAGAAATCCAGAGTTCAGCTGGAGCTAGAACTAGCAAGAGATCTTAAGGGTAATGAAAACAGCTTCTGTAAGAACATGGCAAGCAGAAGGAAAGATAAGAAAAGCGTGGGCAGTGTGTGGCAGGGACCCACGGTAGCAGAAGGTTGATCTGCAGACCACCTAATTAAGTGGACATATGCAAGGCCAAGGGACCAGATGCGATTCATCTGAAGGAGCAGTCTCATGCCATTGCAAAGCTGCTCTCTGTTACCTTTTAAAGCTCATGGTGGTCTGGAGAGGTTTCTGAGAACTGGGAAGAGGCAGATGTCACATCCATTCTCAAGAAGGGTAAGAAGGAGGATCGGGGGAAGTACAGGCCAGTCAGTCTCACCTCAGTCCCTGGGAAGGTTGTGGAGCAAAGCCTCTGGGAAGCTGTTCCCCAGCCACGTGCAGGACAGGGAGGGGATTGGGAGCAGCCTGCAGAGATTTGCCAAGGGCTGGTCATGCCTGAACGGCCTGGCTGCCTTTTGTCATGAGGCTGTGACTCCAGTGGACAAAGGCAGAGCAGTGGCGGTTGTTAGCCTCTAGTAAGGTGTTGATGTGGTCTCCTTGTAGTATCCCAGTGGGCAAATTGGTGAGATACAGGGTCTGGATAAGTGTGGGCTGTAAGAGAGGTGGGAGATTGGATGGACTGCCATGTTCAGGGTGCTCCTCAGAGGTACAGAGTCCAGCTGGTTACCAGTGCTGTCACTCAGGGATCTGTAATGGGGCTAGTACAGTTCAACATTTTTGTTAATGACCTCGTTTCTTGTACAAGGCTGTGGACAATACTTGATTCTGGGGCAGGTTAATGTGCCAGAGGGCAGGGCTGTCATTTAGAGGGACCGTGGCATGCTGGAGAAACAAGCTGTCAGGAGCCTCTTGAAGTTTGGCAAAGGCAAATTCCAAGTGCTGCTGCTGGGCTGGGACCAAGTGGCGGGGGGGCAGCTCTACAGCCAGGGACCTGGGGGTCTGGGCGGGTGACAGTTTGGACAGGAGTGAGCAGTGTGCCCTGGCAGCAGAGAATCGGCTGTATATTGGGCCGGACGAGCAAAGATGCGTCAATCCTGGCCCAGAGAGGCTGTGGGATCTCCTTGGAAATGTTTAAAACTCAGCTGGACGAGGGCTGGAGGAATCTGATCCAGCTGGCCTAACTTTGAGCGAGGGGTTGGCACAGAGACCACTAGAGGTTCTTCCAACTTAAAAAATACTCTTCTTGTTTTCTGAACCTTAATTTTGTTTGAAACTACAGAGAAATAATTTAGGATTCCTAAGTTTTCCACCCCTTAAATTCTAGTAATAATCACAGTGGAAGGAAAAAAAAAGAAAAAAGTTACATTATGCTGTTACGGCTACACAACGTAACATGCTGCTACTGTTGTGCTGCAGTCAATCCAGTATAATTCTCTCATGTATATAATTTTCGTGGTCCTCTAGATTGTATTTGTCAAAAAGAACCTATCGCTTCAAGTAGAATAAAGCAAAATCACTATTTGCACTGCATTTGAAATATTTGCAAGGGGTCAAACGTGATGCAGAGGGAAACGTGCACAGCTTTCAGGGAGGTTATCAGAAAGGTTTGTGCTTATGTGCAAGGACAAGATTTTATCCATTTTGTTACACATATGGAGAGCTGCTGAACTTGCTAATCCTCCAATGGGATATCAGTCTGAGCTTTATGGAGAAATGCAATTCTTAAACTCACATTTTCCTCTTTTCCTCTGTTAGGTTTTGCAGCGACTGATTAAATCTAGAGGAAAGTCACAAAGTAAACACTTGAATGTTCAGTTGGTGGCAGCTGATAAACTTGCACAATGCCCACCAGTAAGTACAGAAGAAAGGCTAAAGAACTTGTGATACGTGGAGTTTTAAAGATTTGTGCCATGTTGGTCCTTGATTATAGCCAAGTTCATACGTTATCACTTTACTTTATGGTGATTCAGACAGCCCTGCAGTTGCAACCCTCGATCAGCTTTTACTGCTAAGAAACAAGTTGTTTGATACATTCTTCGTGATTATCTCCTGTGCTGGGTTTATTATGATCTTTGGCAAGGTGACAGGTCAGAAATGACGTGTATGGTAAATCTGACCTACTAGCACATTAGCAAATGACATCATTTGTGGAGCAGTGCTATCTTAAGGTCCCCAAGGGCCAAAGTCTCAGACTCCTGGTTTGAGAGGAGGCTGCAGAGGACTTGCCTTCAGCTGCACAGTGAGTCCAGACCCCCCCGTCTGTCCGGTGCGAGTCCTGTGTCTGCACGTGGGTGATCCCCGGGCCTCCTGACGCAGCAGCTCCTGCCAGCCATTCCAGTTACCTCGTGGCAGCACAGTCACTGCTCACCGGCCGTTTTATCAAAGATACAGATCCCTCACTGTGAATAACCTGCTGTTTAAGGAGCAGAGGTCCCGGAGAGCAGATCAGGCAGGCAGGTGCTGTGCAGAAAAGCTGTACAGGTGTCTGGACAGGGCAGCTCAAACTTGCTTTTATTTTTGGAAAACCACGCCTGGTTTCTGCAACAGAGAAAGCCACTCACTGGAAACAAATTTGGATGTGGGCTTGCTTTTACAGCACAATAACTGTGCGTAACGTTGGTCTGGTAGCGCAGAGACTGCTGTTTGTCCCAGGGCAATGCTCAGACAGTCCTGCCTACGGCTTGCCCATTGCTCATCTTTCTCATGCCAAGGAACTGTGAGTAGAAATCAGATTATCTAATTCAGAGAAATTCAGAGCAAGACACTGGGAGGGTTTACGTGATCGTACTCTCTGACTTAAAATAGGCAAAGTGCTGACAAATGTCTCGGAACAGTGGAGGAACAAATCTGGGAGTTTAGATCAGCAGAACAAATGCCTGACCCTGATGGTCAGGTAACGCCTCCTGAAGACTTTGCCTTGTGTTACGTAGACCTTAAAGAGAGGGCCTCCATTTCAGGTGGCTTTTATTCTCAATTCAGGTGAAAGCAACCAAGTTCAAGCAGCTTTTGTTCTGGAGTAATGATCCACAAGGATCTGTTTCCATGAAACTTAGTTTTGTATGCTTCTTAAGATACCAAACTTCACTGCCTCCTCCCTTCTTGTCCCCACTGGCCGTAAAAAGATAATTTGGGTATTTCTGGGCACTCCTCCTAAATTAGAGTGATAGATCTTGCTTTTTGGCTGTTCCCATTGGTAGGAATGGAGTCTGAGCCGCGTCTCCTTTAGGCCAGTGCTCTCATACCCCTTAAACGTCCCAGGGCTACTGCTGCTGGGAGCAGTGGCACTCCATCCAGCCGAAAGGGAGACCTGGAGAGAGTTTTCTCCTTCTCCCTCCTCTTGCCCACTGGTTGACCTTGGAGCTTAGCTCCTGCCTTGAGCTTGACCTTGCCTAATCTCTCACTGATGCGTGGAGACTGCCGGCCTCTGCTGCACCAGTGTGCCCGCCACTGCCCCGCTGGAAGCGATCCCTGTGGCCTCAGCTCTGCCCAGCGATTCAGCCTTGGCTGAGCAAGAGGTGGGGGAATTCAGCATGCACGGATGGGCTTTCTGAAAAATGCTTCAAGCTGAGGGACACTGCGGATGCGTTCAGGTTGTGTTTGCTCAGTAGTTTCAGCCGGATATGAAATGAAGAATAATGTGGATCTGCGAAAACTTTGAATTTTGGCAGCTTTTTTTTAACGTTTTGGTGTATGTTCAGGCTAGATTCGTACGGAAAGGTGAGAAAGCAGGGAAAAAAGCTGATAGGCTTGACTGAAATTTCTGTCCCCTCTATCTAAAAGGTTTAGGAGTGCGTCCAGAATGAGAGATCTGATTCAAATTCCTCCTGTGCCTGATACAGAGCGAGAATTTAAATGAGTGCTGCTGGTGGTGGCGTGTATCTCCATCTCTCCAGTTAAACACCCTTCCCGCAGGGCCCGCCGGGCCCCTGACAGCTTGCTGTTGCCCTGGCAGGGCTGGGGGTCCCAGCTGCTCTCCTGCCACCCCTCTTGCCCCAGCAGCACCAGTTGCAGGTGGCTGGCTGGGGGGGTGGTGGATGCCGACCGCGCAGCCATCCAGCCCGGTGCGTTACCGCGAAGCCCCGTGAGCTTCTGGTTCCCGTAACCGTAGATTGCTTTGCTCACCGTCTCTTCCTTGTTCTTTCCACTTCGAGCAGCACTGAAAGATGTTCAAGCCATCTCGAGTTCTTCCGGAGAGCTCAGCTGCGTTCTGTTTCTCACATGTCGTTTTCTACTGAATTGTTAACTCAAAATGATGACGGAGAATTCCTGTGAGCCATCCAGGTCCCATAAATAAAACACAATGGTACGCTTTTCTGCAATACCAAATAATGTCTATAAAAGCATATACCTTCCCAACTCTTAATGGGTGTGAGCCAAGTTAGATGGAGCTGCACCCCCACCTGTTCGAATACGGCTTGTGGTGTTTGCACCAAGCTTACACACAGAACAACCCGCTGCACATTTGAAAGGTGTATTTATTTTTCCACCTGCGCAGAGAAGCCTGTCCGTGTTTCACAGCCTCGTTTGCTCTTTCGATGGTGGTTTCCTCTTGTTCCACGTTGGTGTGCTCACATCAGTTGAAGTGAGGCAAGTGGCTGCGTTGATTGAAATAAACAGCGTGCGGCAGCAGGATGCGTGTTGTAGCTTGTTCCTTGTGTCATGGCACTTAGATTGTCCATCCCCAGGATCTAGTAAACTCCGCCTTAACACCCAATCCTGTAATTGTAATTTCTTGCCGAATGCAACAAAGTGAGACCCCACCTGGATAAGAAAAATATTTCCCAATTTCAGAATATCCAGATTGCAAACATGTAACTTGCTCACAGGCTGCCTTCCACTCCGACTTGCCCACCAGCCATCTGCAGAAACCATCAGGTCAGGTTTGCACTGTTTGATTTCGAGAAGGTTATTGCTGACTAAGAGTACTGGAAGGGAGATGACAGTCTTGGTTAAGTTTAAATGAAAGGACCAAGCGGATCCATGATTTAATTAAGTAAAAGTATACTGCTAGGACCAAAGACACTGCTGTCTCCCTTCTGGACTGTGACCTGCTTCATCTGTTTTGCAGCTCAAATTCCTGCAAGAGGAGTATTTGTTTAAAGTAGAGATACTTGAAAACCATAAAAACCTCACTTTTTTTTTCATTTGCTGAGAGCCAGCCTTAAGTAATCAGATGGTGCTGTATGTCTAGACATTTTAAAAATAGCTGTCTTTTTGTCATATTTAAGTTCAGGAACTGCTTTCATTATTGATTCCGTGCTAATCTTTCACTGATGCTGCTCAAGCCAGTGCTAAGCGTGCCTATCACTGCGTGACTCTGTTAAGCAGGAACATTATGTGGCTCAGAGAAACATGAACTGTACCAACCGTACAGCTTTAAATACACTGGTTGTATACACCTTGTTATTATTTTTTATTAACCTTTGGATTCGTGGCAGTGCTAAGAGAGGGTATGTATCCTTCCGATCTATTTGAGATAACCTGTGAAATACCAGAAAATGTACTCTAGCAAAACTAAAATGCATTGGTATAGTTAAAAATAGCCAGTCCACCAGATACATCTACAAGTTCAAATTCTTCTTGCTTCTCAGTTCTTGCTCCCCTGCCCTTGCAGTTCTCTCTGGGGCATCTTTTCCCCCAGAGCCTGATCTCACCCTCCCTGACCTGAGAGTGGGATGCAGTCGGGGATTGCCCTTTGCTGTGCTGACTCTGGGCTGTGCCTGAGGCTCAGTCCTTCCTACACTCCCTCTCCCACTCGTCCCCGGGGGTTATGCCATTTTCTTTTGTGTTGCTAACGTGGGGTAATGCACCTAGAATGTTTCACAGGGGTTATACAGTAAACCAAAAGAACTAGCCGATGGCAACTCGTTTTACCTTCTCTTCAGGCAAGGTCACTGCTTTAATGTAGATCACTGAAGAAATACTGGTGTATGGAAATGCTCGTATGATGATAACTATTTTACGCTGGTTGTAGGAAAATATAGCAGTGAATAAAATGCATTGTAAGAACTGGGAAGAAATTGCTTTACTCCGTGACCCATACAAACAAGGATCTCCTTAAAAGATTCCTCCCAAGTGCGTAGAAATAGAACAAACACACTTTAGCTACGAGCAGAACTGTTAAATGCACAAAAAACCTGAGTGTTTCCTCTGTAATTTATTTTCCCTGTAAAACACCGTAGAGCCCTGGATTCAGGATTCTGCCAGTTTTGCAGCTTTTCCAGGTGACCTTCAGCTGACACCCTGAGAGGCTCACCATTACCAGTCCTAGTGTTATTTTATGGTTAACTGTTAAAAAGGTGGCACTTTGACTGCAGCTGTTAAAAGTTCTTATTCCCTAAATTCAATTTAATTGAGATCACTGTCAAAACACCCCATGGAGCTACATACTGTCACAGAACTGGGTGGCTTAGGTCTGTTAGCTAGAGAGTTAGCTGTGCATTTCTTGGAAGTGCATGAAGCTGTTATTCCATTAAGGCAGCCGTAGGCGCTCCCACCTCTCATCTCGTTGTCTTCCCTCCACCTTGCAGCTCCCTGAATCAACTGATCCAGGTTAAAAAGAAACTTGAGAAACAGTTCCCTGCCTTAGCAGGAGGAGGTTGAAGGGTGTTGGAAGAGTGTTTGTTGACCTGTTTTCTGCTAAGGTCTCATACAGCTGAAAATACCCCTTGAGACAGGATTCCCTTGCAGCCTGCAAAGCTGAGTTTTGGCTGGACAGCCAGAGTTGCCCTCAAATCCGTGGCCCACGATGCAAAGAATGAGCAGTGCAGGAAGGCTGCTTGCTGGCCTCTGACCAGAAAATGACAATATTAATTCTTCATTTAAGAAAACACATACTGTATTCCAAATGTAATATTTTAATGTCAATATTTTCCAAAGCAAAGTACATGTAAACAAACCACACTGTTATTTCCCAACTTAACTATGTTTGAATTACTGACTTCTTCCACAAATTATGATGTTGGTGATAGAATGGAATATGTAGTGTATCAGCATCTGTTTAAATAGCAGAGGAGGGTGTAAAGGGCATAGATAAGTAGAGGAGCAAAACAAGCAGCAGTAAACACTGAATCTGACCAAAGGATGTTGTGTTAGGAGTATTCTTGTTAGAAGAAAACTCCGTACTTGCAGGTAGAGGAGGGAAGCATTTCTCTATCATGCTGATAAGAGGGAATAAATTTAAAAATAAATAAAATTGCTTTAGTATTCAAGTAAGTTCTGGACCAGAGGTTTGGACAGAAGGTAGATGCATGATCAAGATCTATGATAAATTCATCGTGTTGTTTTACATCTCATTCTAGAGATGTCAGCTCTATGTATATTGGCTAGATCTATAAATATGCATGGAGGAAAAGCAGCCTGTGGTTTGTATTGGTTACTCTTAACACCTGCAATGTTCTGCACTTACTTATCATTTCCTGTGCTATTTTCACAATTTCTTTTCTCCACTAAGGTGTGAGTTAAGATTAAAGATGAGGTACAAAATTCTGCTGCTGGAAATATGTTTATATTTTTCTTGAGGGACTCAGTTTATGATGGTTTACTATCAGCTGTTCATTATCATCATTTCTCATGCTGATAATCTAAAAACATTGTCTGCGGAGTGTTCTTGGGTGGCACAGAAGCCGCGTGGCTTTGAATTCCACTTTCACTAGTAAATAGCTTCTCTGTGGCTTGCATGGTGCGCGGGTCTGCGGCAAGTGCCAGGACTTGCACTCGTGGTCAGGTACTGTCCCCTGGTAAGTGGATTAGAATCCCAGGATGGTTTGGGTGGGAAGGAACCTTAAAGATCATCTAGTTCCAACCCCCCTCCCCTGGGCAGGGACACCTTCCACCAGCCCAGGGTGCTCCCAGCCCCGTCCAACTTGGCCTTGGTAGGGATTAGTGAAAAAAAAAAAAAAAAAAGGCTGTACCTGCATGGTCTTTTAGATTTGAGAACAGATAGGTGAGACTATCCAGATAGGCAGAAGTGAAGGCAGTTTAAAGACAGGGCACGGAGATAGTGTCTGAAGGGCTGGATGTCCTGCAGTAGCCTTGCTGAAGCAGAACAGCTGCTGCCAACCGAACTGCATTGCCGCGTCCGCTGAGGTGGAAATGGGTTTAGGGACATCGTCACTCTGGAAACGCGTCCACAGTTAGGATGAGAGAAGTGTGGGTGAGTCCTGCGCTCCAGAACCACTGCGGAGCACCCCTGTGTTACTCTGACATCTGGCTTCGGTTCCTATCTCCCAGCAAAATAAATTCATTAAAGGTGTCTGGTGCCAGCGAGCGTGGTAGGGCTCATGCAACACCTAGTGAGCCTTGCTGGAAGGATACAGCAACTTCTGAGAGCTTTGAGTTTTGATCACCTTTTCAACCCAGTTGTGTAATTCTTTGCAATCCCATGCTCGGGTTCTTATTTATTGAATTTTAAAGGATTAGCTGGAAGGATACAGCAACTTCTGAGAGCTTTGAGTTTTGATCACCTTTTCAACCCAGTTGTGTAATTCTTTGCAATCCCATGCTCAGGTTCTTCTTTATTGAATTTTAAAGGATTAGCATGATGAGAATTGTTTAACATCTCTTTCTTGTCACCTGGAACATTGTAATGAACCAAACTCTGTTGTTGTGATCAGGAAATGTTTGATGTAATTTTGGATGAAAATCAGCTTGAAGATGCTTGCGAACACTTGGCAGAATATCTCGAGGCATACTGGCGTGCTACTCACACCACCAGTAGCACACCCATGACTCCTCTCCTTGGGCGAAATTTAGGATCCACTGCACTTTCACCATATCCTGCTGCAATCTCTGGCTTACAGGTATGAAAATACATTTCAGCCCCAGACACCAGTGCAGATCAGGTGGGTTATTTTAATCTACGGGAAAATAGCGTAATATGTTTTATTTAGTGTAACTTGTATTTGCTTCACTAGTTATTGTTCACTGTTTGGCCACTGCCAGCAGTAAGAAGGCAAGCTAAGGCCTGTGGTCAGTGAAGCAGCAGTGAGGCAGCCGAGTGCTGAAGCACCGTGGCTGCTCTTGCTTTAATGGGATATAAAACGGCCATAAATTTTCTAGCAAGGAGTGCGTTCTTGAGGAAGAGTTAAATGACACTCTGTCAAGTGGTATTACAGCCATATTAGAAAACGGCCTTTTTTTAATCTGGAAAAAAATGTCATTGCAAATGAGACCCTGTCAGATTGAGAATAAGCATGTCCAGTATGTAACAGCAGTTGAGCTACCAGCTGCTGTATTTAAGAACGCAGAACAGTGTCTGTAATGACCCCTTTTATTTCTACCCTTGTGACTTCACAAGGCATTTACTTTTGGATGAAAAACTTCCACGCTTGTCTCTTCTATCAGCAAAATGCCTTCAGCTTTTTGAGTTTTTTGAGTGTGAATAAAATACATCTTTTTACCCATTGAAAAAAAATTCTGACCATTTTTTTCCACAGGGATAGCTCAAAAACGGCTGAACTTTGAAACTTCAAACGTGGCATGTAAATAGTCCTTAATGAGAAGTACGTGATTTACTAAGTTTGAAAACAGAAAATGTTTTTGATTAATAGTTATGAATGCTTGAGAAGATCAGGATTGCAGCAAACTTTTAAGTCTGAAAGTTTCAGAAGTTCTGTATGTGTGTGACTTTCTAGGAGCGTGCGCTTTCTAATGTATGTCAAAAGTAGAGTTGAGCAAACTGCATTTAATGAATAATTCACCTGACAAATTTAACCTCTGTTCTGCTTGTAGAGTATCTGGAAGCAGGTAATAATTTTGAAGGAAATGATGCATTGTTCAGTGTTTTCAATTAACATAAAGCTGTTTTTTCTGTGAGTGAATTGCACTTCACTGAGGGTGCATGATACCTGATACTCACATTTCTAATGCTGTGCTTGATTTTATTAGGATCAGTAAGCCACTGTTTCCTGACTGGCTGAATGCCCAAGCACTGTTCTATTACTAATAACGTGCACATGTAAACTGTTGTTTTCATCTCCACTTGCCTTCAAATTTCAGTTTTCCATCCCTTCATGATAATAAAATGCCATCTGCAGAACTTTCACCTCTTCGGTTTCATTTTGAAAACTGGGTGTATCCACGGAATGTTTTTTCAGGCATTTATTTCTCTCTGATCAATGGACACCAGCAGTAACTGTGAAATGTTGCTCCATTTACTTAGGGAAAACTCACACTGAAGATGAAAATCACCCCTGTGCAGTGGGCTGGCTGAAGGTATGCATCACTTAATCCCCACTTCACCCTAATTGTGAAGGCTTAGGTGGGACTTGAATGGTGCTAGTTCTCTGCAGAGGGGTAAATTTCTCCCTGAGTGAATGACGCCCAACTAGAGACTGCAGGATTTGGCCTTCAGTGCCACTTAAGCGTTCAGGTCCACTTAAAGAGTTCTCATGTTTTACGTGGTTTTCTCGCAGTAGGAACTTCCATCATCTGAAGTGCTTAGCCACCTAGAGATTTTGTACTAATTCAGGCCTTCAGAAGGATTTGCATCGGTTTGAATGAGTAATGATGTGGTATGATAATTATAAAGCAGTCACACGAATCCTAGGAATTAAACTAGCTTAGGTGCTTATGATATATTGAGAATTTATACTTCTTACGAACGTGTGACTCCTTCTTGCCTGATACCTTGGGGAACTGAATACCAAAAGTCCAGAGCCTCACGTAACAGTGACACCCAAGAATGATACAGATTTGCTGGGACAATCTGTACACATTTCACTTAATCAGGAATTAGGCGTATCCCCTTTTCACTTGATTGTGGCTTGGACTTTACTGAGAATTGAAAGTTCTGATTTAACTTAAGTCTTTGGGCTTCACGAAGGTCATCAGGGTGCAGTTAAATGGCATAGATACAGAAGAGTCAGAGAGGGTCTGTGCGACAGCGTGCTCTGACTGTGTCCCATCACACCGTGTGTGGAACACCCCCCAGAGCCAGTGGTCGTCTGGTCCTTCGTCACGGTCTTGCCTGAAAGGGGAAGATGTTGATGTTGAGCTCTGTGTGTTTGCTGTCCTCAGCAGGAGGAGTAAATTTTGTCATTGCTAACTCCTCGGGGCCAGTCGTCTGCCCGTGTGGCTAAGCTCTAATTTTAGTGACAGTTCAGTGAATGGATTTAAATCCTGCAGTTCAAGTTCAGTGTGTTTCTTAGGCTCCAGGGGATTTACATTTTAAGTCCATTACTGCAGAAAACATAACGCAGATTATCGTTCCAGTTGCGCTGCAGGATCAGAAGTTACTTGGGGCGTGAGTCTGGCATGTAACCACACCAGTTTTGTGCCACGCTTACACCTCTCAGGAGGTCAATAGCAGGATCAGAACAGTCGAGGTGGAGAAACAGGAAGGTTTCTAGAGAGGAGCAGGTTGCAGCCAGAGAGGAAAATTACTACAGGGAAGATAGAGGGTGTGAGCACAGAAAGTTAAAGTTGCCATTGATTGGGCGATTATATATCAAAATTGCATGCTTAGCTCAAATAACTATGAGAAGTGCAATTTGTGAGGAAAATGTGTAGGCTGTGACATATATTCACTGCTAAACCACGATGCTGTAAGGAAAACTTGGGGATAAGGTGGTAGAAGTTGCTACCCAGTAGCTGGGGGTGCGAATTTGCAGGAGGGCACCTTGCCCATGCCAGCGTTACGTGGAGTCTCTGGGTGAGTAACCTTGGTAGCATCGATCCACAGAAAGGGGCGCGACATCCTATCCACCCTGCTGTAAGCGGAGACCCATCTGGGCAGTAACTCCCCCGTGCCGGCAAGCCTTTCGCTATAAATTATGCAGCTAAACAGTTGCCGTACAGAGAGGGTGCTGCGGTGGGAGGAGAGTTTTCTAGCAGAGAGGGCATCGGCCAGAATTTCCGCGCTGAGAGGAGCAGACGGTGCTGTGTGTGCGAGGGAGCCCGAGGCCGCGAGCGCGCAACCGCCGCGGTGGCACTCGGGGCAATTCCCGGGTCGGGAGAATGGCGTTGGGTGTGCGGTCTAGGGAAAGTATTGACCAGGCTTCTGAGAGTGTGGGTGGCTGTACTCTTGAGAGGTTTAATATGCGAGGACAGCAAACAAAATATTTTTTTTCAGGTTATTTCTTCATTGTGCCAGTGCACTGGCAAAAAATGGGAACTAATTTTGTTCGTGTGACAAGTGTAGCACATTGTCATTGTGGGAATGTGAGGATAGCAAAGGCTAAACCTTTCAACTAATAAATTATCATAGAAAAGGGTTTTCTGTCAGCGTATTTAAGGTAGTTACTATGTTTTCGTTGAATTTGTTAATATCTAATCATTTTAGCCACCCCTCAGCTGTCTGGTTAGCAGTCCATCATTTGTTCAGTCATACATATGAAGGCTTTTAAACAGGTCTCAGAGCTGCACCTTTTAAAAAACTAAACAAACAAAAAAAAAGAAGGGAAGAAAAACCCATCAAACCCCAAGCCCAAACATCTTCAGATGTTTTCCCAAACCACATAAATCCGTGCTCAGAATTTTCTGAGCAGAACAGAAGCATGAATGTTCTGTTCATGATCAGAGCAAAGTGATAAATGCTGAATACATCAGCTCACTTTTCACGCTAAGTGGCCTGTAACGTTTAACAGGGCGAGTCCCGTAAGGTACACGTTGCAGTACTGCGTTTGGTCTGCTTTCAGCTCTAGGAACCAGACTGTTCTTGTAACCCGTTCCTGTAGCGAACAGACTTTAATATAAAATGAATAATACAAAAGTGGATGGATTCTGAAAGGCCTCAGAATAAGTCTCAAAACAGGCTAAGAAATGTGAAATACTCTTTGTCTGTATTAATGCTTGGATTCTTTGGCCCTCGTAGAGCCAGCGTATGAGGCACAGCAGCCATTCTACAGAGAACTCTCCAATTGAGCGACGAAGTCTAATGACCTCAGATGAAAATTATCACAATGAAAGGGCTCGGAAGAGCAGGAACCGCTTGTCTTCCAGTTCCCAACACAGCCGAGATCACTATCCTCTAGTGGAAGAAGAATACTCTGACTCATACCAGGACACTTACAAACCCCATAGGAACCGAGGATCCCCTGGAGGATATAGCCATGATTCACGACACAGGCTTTGAGTTCAAGAACCTGGGGAAAAATAGTCATTCATCAGTTGATAACTTGCCATAACGTAGCTAGGGGAAAAAAAAAAAAAAAAAAAAAAAAATCATCTTAATTTGGCAGATGTAACACGGTTATACTGAAGTTGCACTCTGCTGCCATTTGATGTTAAGTCGGGGGCAAAAAAAAGTTACCATGCCCTTACGTTTATGCCCAATCATACAGGTTGTTATTTGGATTTTTTTATTTATCTTTTCTTTTTAGTACAGCATTTGCATTTATAGCCATACCTTTTTTGTCGTTAGATATTAGACACATCCGTTTGTAATTTAGGATACTTATCAAGGCACTTATAAAATAATTTCCTGTGCTGGAAATTCCAAATGACCAGTTCCAGTTGGAACCAATTTATAAACCAATTCCTGTTGGAATTTGGGTGAATTGACTGGAAAGTCGACTTGAGCATGTTGCAATCAATTGAAAAAAAAAAAAAAGACAAATGAAAAATCTGAAAATTACAAACCACTAAAAGCCAGAAAGTCAGCTGCAGCATTTGTTTGCTGGAAACTCAATTTACATTTAAAGTTAGAATAAAAGGATTTATTCTAACTACTTATTTCCAGAATGGCTTTTTCTGACAAACCAAATGTAAACTATTGAGAGTGCCAAATATCACAAATTATTGCAGCAGTTACAAAATACTTTCCAGTTTGAAATTATTTTTAGACCTGGCATGAATGTTGCAGCAAAGTTATTTCTTTAGTTTAGCCAGTACTGACATTTTTATTGCGGTCAGCAGTGATGAACTGTGACCGGATAAGGGGAAATAGAGACAGGAAAATGAGCAAACTTAAGAATAGTCTGTATGGCTAGATGGTGAGGATAGACATTTTTTTTTTTTTTCCTCTTGTTTACCTGAATACAGCTAGTAGTCCCAAAATGGAACATTAGTATATAGATACATAATATTTTTTTCTCCCATTTGTAGTATTCTGCCTTTTTAAATGGAAAACAATACACTCTTCTTACCTAGTGTGTAGGGTACCTACATTCCAGTACATCTGAGTACCTACCTATCTGTTACATCTTTCAAAATCCATATTTGAATGTCTGAAAATTCCAGCATCGCACAAGAACTCTCCAGAAGATGAGTTTAAATTTCAGTAATTAAATCTGAGGGAAGTGGGGCTAAATATTCCTAAATGATGAACATTTAAAATAACATGCAGGTCAGAATTAGCTTGCAAGAAAAATGGAGTATTGGAAAAAAATCTGCTCACAGTGAAGTCACAGAGCTGACATTTTTGATTCAAAGAACTATGATCAATCTTTGGAGATACTGCTGCCTTACTTCCTAACAATCACTTCTTTTCACCTACTGAGTCTTCAGTTCCTTTAACTAGGTAAATTTATGTGATTGGACCTGATGTCTTACATGATCAGTGAAGCCTTAGATCCCATGTGATTGAAAAATTTACCGTGATTGACCGTTTTGTACAGCCCACTAATGTCTTTAAGCAGAGACTCCTGAAATTCCCCACTGCATGCATTTTCTAAAATTGACAGAACTATGCTGAACTTGCATTTTTTGAATGCAGGGTCACGTCAAAACTATTTTTTCAAAAACGAGGATCATTAACTTTTGTAATTGCTTATTTCCTTCCCAAAGCCTGCTAAAAGTAGGCTTTAAAAGCATGTAGCACTAAATGAATTTCCTGAATATTGCGGTTTCTTCTTCTTTCTGGACCGGTTAGCAAAGATCACTGGTATTTTCCACCACCGTTGAGTCTGATTATCTTCTTGATGTTAACAACGAGAAAAGTAATTCATCTCATATCTGGTACAACCAAAAATGATGTACATCTCTCGCAGCATTAAAAGATTGCGGATGCATGATTAATATTTTAAACAACTTCACTGCCTAAAAGGCAGCCTTCAGCACCACTAGACGATTTGAATGGGCCAGTCACCAAGAAAAAAATGAACATACCTGCATCCATTGGAGTAACAGAGTTAAGAATGGATATGACAGGCCTGATCCTGTTTGATTTTCTCAGGCTGAATGCCTGCAGATTCCAAAAAGAGCATTCAGGCTGAGGAAGCACGGCAAGATCTGGTCTGGGAATGGTAGCTTCAGCTGCCTCCTCTAGTATTTTCTGCTACAGCACAGTGGAGCATTCTCCAGTAATTTTTACAAATCTTTGTTACGTGTACAGCACACATACCTGCATGAGAAAGAAGGCATTAGGCAAAACATTTTTTCTATAAGCTTTAATGAGTTTCTTGTTTGTGTGCATTAAAGTATTAATTGCAAAGGATGCACTGAGATGTATAAACCTAGAGTAGACAGCTGTTTATCTTTATTCTGTAGTAGCATTAGGGATCAGATCATTTAACTGCTTGAAGATATTTGCATTTTAATGGCAGGTAGCCGCGAAGCACCTACATATATTTTCTAGTAAACAAGGTTACTGCTTTATCATTTCCTAGACAAAAATGCCATTTATTTCTAGAGCCTTTTGGAGCCTTGTTTTTAAGTCTTCCATGTCATGCTAGTAAAGGGAAAGATCTACACAACACATATGCACAAATTCCATCCCTGCAGCATTTGAAGTGCCAAAACGACTTCGTTTGTTCTAATAAAAACAAGCTTGTGAGGGGCATCCTGTATTGTCTTGAAAGAACCCATCGAGTTCCTTTATTATGTGGGTTTAAGTTTACTCTTGTCTGTAATTAGTTTACCCTCTCCTCTCCCACTGCCCATTCCATTTTAATATAAGAAACCAATTATAAGTGATCCAGCAGGTCTCCTTGCTTGCTGGTTTTTTATTCTTTGAAGATAGATAGATCCTTAAGTACAAATATTCCGAACGTGCTAATAGATTATTAATTTATTCTAGATACAAGCTATGGGAACTCTTTATTTTAAAAAGTAAATTATTTTTAGCAAACATGGTAATCAGTAAAAGCTGCAATGTTGATCAGGACATGTTAACTCATAGTATTTGTATTAGAACTTCAGCAGTGCTAGCCAGCTGTATTGTGATTTATTATGCAATGGCGCTATAGAAAATCGTGAAATTCCTGTATTCCTGAATGAATACGAGTAAGACTAATTTTCCAGTCCTTGCACCATTTCTTCTTGTTATTAAAATACTATTAAAGATCAGAGTTCTGTTCCTAAACTCTGGCGTATTCAGAGGATTTTAGAAATGTTTATAAAACATTGATTTTTTTAAAGGTCTTTTTTGTTGTTGTTGTTATCTGAGTTTTTCGCTAGGACGCTTTTGGATTAATGACAATTTAGCCAATAAAGGTGATAACAACGATCTCAATGCCCGAAGACAATATATGTCAGTGCATTCCTATGTTTGTGAGCGAATTAACAAAGTACTTTTAAAATCTGGACGCCACTTTAAAGACAATTAACTGTTAAGCTTTTCATTTCAGATGCTTTGGCGAGTTGCATTTAACAGATGGGCAGGTTCTTCTGCTAGGTCCACAGGTGAACACGCATCCCATGGGATGCGCAGCCCGCGGCCGATTATGTTTTCCACCTGAGTATGTTACGGAGTTGTGCTTAAAGGCATGCAAGTAAAGCTGGTGTGTATCGAATTTTAGCGTGTAAAGAATGGGCCAAACGAGATGATGGTTTTCTGAAGGGGTCGGTCTGGCAAAAACCGGTTCCTCTGCCTGAGAGCTGATAGCGCAGTACGGCCCGATGCCTGGACGTTGTCCTGCACCCCGCCGTCCCCCTTGGGGCGGCACCCCGGGGGTTTGTGCTTGGCAAGCGAGAGCGGTTTGGGGAGGGAGGGCCGTCCCTCTGGCGAATCGCCCCGTCCTTGGGTTAATTCTGCCGACGGGGGCTCCGCTTCGCAGCGGGCGGGCCGCAAATAGGGGAAAAAAACAAACAAAAAAAAACAAAACAAAACAAAACAAAAAAAAAAAAACAAAACAAACAAAAAACACAAAAAAACAAAAACAAAACAAAAAAAAAAAACAAACAAAAAAAAAAAAAAACATTTCGCTGGGGGGTTCGCCAGGTTAGGGAGCTGCTTCTGATGCTGAGGGTTGGGGGGGGGGGGGTTAATCTTTTGTGCTCCTTGTTTTTTTAAAACCACGTTTAGAACGGACTGAAGAGAGTGAAAATTACAAAAAGGAGGAAAGGTGGCTGTAGAGGAACGGTAGTTCCTCTGGATGCGCGTAGTCCCGTAATTTCAAGCTCAGTTTGCAAATCTCCAGAATTCAGTTCGGTTTTAGTACCGTAGGCTTCTCTGAAATCTCCTGTCTTTACTGACATTACCAGTCTCAAAATAATATTGCTATTACTATTACAGATTTGGGTAAGTTAGGGCTTTCATGTGTCCTCTGCTATACTTTCTTTTCAAGTTCTGTGCTTCCGAAGCCTGTCCTTGATTTCATGGTCTTCATTTTTTTAAAAGCAAAAATAATTGGAGACCACAAAGTTAAAAAAAAAAAAAAAAATGCATATTTTGTAAAATACCATTTAGACAAATCTGGTTTTACTCCTAAAAATGCGTATTTTAAAATTGGGTTGTATTACCCCACTGGTATTAGTCCAGGTGGGGATATGCAGGGTTCTGCTGTCGTGTTTTGTTGCAGTTACCCCTCATTCCTTCAAACAGTAGTTCTACAAAGAGTAACACAACTGCAAGATACTGTAACATAGCCAATTTTAACTCTGGGGGAATTAAGTTTCCATTATCCTTAAAATGATGCCCAAAAAAGAGTATATGAAGAGTCATCATTTGGATAATCTTTGTTAGATTGTTATTCAAGTCCAATTTGTTTCATATAGGAAAAAAAAAGGTATGTCTTTAAAAAGAAAGGGACATTTTAATAATGTTGTAAAATACATGTAAGGAATTAACTTGGAGAAAGAGCTGAAAATGCTACTTAGTATTGAAATTTGTGTTACGATCTCTTTCATTCTTTGTGAAATCCATTGAAGAACTCAAGAGAAATATTGTAATTGAACCCATATAGAGAATTTGGGGAGAAGGTAGAGATCATTTTAAACTGTTAATGAGAGTGTGTCGTTCTGTTAAACCGTTAATGAGAGTGTGTGGTGAAAGTGGGAGTGATGTTTAGTAGACTTGCCTTTTCCCCTCACGCTTCTTGGCAGTGAGTTTCTATCTGGACTAGATCCTACAGACACCTGCTACTGGACACTGGTTATTACTGTCTTCTCCGAAAGTCGGCATTCGTGAGATCTGACCATTGATGTCACATGCTGATTATCATATGCCTTATCAATATTTCCTGAAAAACAAAATGTAATTAAACACCACAGTCCCCTTTGATATGAGTTCTACTCTGTATAAGCGGTAGAAAATCCGTGAGAAAATACATTGTACAGTACAGAATAATATATTTTGCCAGTGATGTAAAAACAGAGCAAGGAAAAAGAAGCACATTTGTAATAGCACAAATTTACAATAATTCCACTATTGCATTTGGTGTTGTATTTTGGGGGGGGGGAAAAAAAAAAAAAAAAAAGGTCCATTTTTTGATCCAGCGTTAGTGGATTTATTGCAATTTTGATCAGTTTACCTTGCTGATACTTCAGTTTATTTCTAAGCCTTGCATTTTGCATATGTGACTGGCTTTTCAATAACCTGTATTGCTTCCATATTAGTCAACGAAAACAAAACAAACCTTCTAAAATGAGAAAGTCCACTGCATTCATTTCTGCTGATTTCCTCCTCAAAGCTGGAATTACATTAGTAACTTCTCCTTTTGGCCAATGTAGAGATTTTGGCATATGACTGATGGCTATACCACAAATTCACCAGTAGCCCAAGGTCGGGAATGGAATTCTCCCAGTAAGTGCGTTCTTGGGGCTACAGAACTCCCCGCTTTCCCGTGTGGGGCCGGGGAGGTGGGGAGAGAAGAACCTGACACCGTCAGAGCTGTGGGTGAGCCCGCCCAAAACTTCCACTGATACTGCTGGGAATTTACAACGTAAAGAAAAGTAAGCTTAAGGGATGCACGCTTGGGCCCAAGGTGTATTTACGTTTGAAACGCGCCCGATTCTCTTCTCTGCAGAGAGAGAAGTCGGTGACGGGTTGTACAAGAACAGAACAGGAAGAGATTCAAGCAAAATGCACATTTGAGATACATGGGAGAAATAGAGGGGTGAAGAAAGAAGGTGAAAAGAGTCATTCAAACTGCAAACTACGGACCTTGGGCTTCTCGGATCCCAGAAAATCTCTGTTTCTCACCCAAACTGGTTCCCACTGATGGCTTGGCAGTGATACCTCCAGCCTCACTGGGAGCCAGTTCAGAGTCACACCGGTAAAGACACTACTGCCTTTACTACAAAAAAAGCTACCCACAAATTTGTCTTTTCTGCTGATTTGCCCCTTTCTGGTTTTACTTCTATAGATACTGTATGTGTAGCATTCTACAAGGCATGCTGGGTAAAATATACTATGCAAATGTGTACAGTGTTGCATGCTCTGCTCTCCCTCTGCTTTTAGTGGCTTTCAAAGAAAAGAAAAAAAAAAAAAAAAAGTGTTGTTATTTTTGTGATCAGAATCATTTAAAAAAGAAAATGCAGACTGCATGCTGGTAGTATCCTCATTTCTATGGATTTGTTTTATGGGATTTAGATGTACAAAAATGAACTGCATTACAATAACTTTTCTACAATAAATGAAAGAACTACAAACCGTTTAAAAGTCTTTTAAGTCTCTTTGTATTCTGCACTCAAGGCTGGAAAAAAAGCTCAGAAGAGTCACTTAAGAGCGTTGTGGTATTTTTATTGTATGCTGATAGCTTTTGGCAGCAGCTTCACCTGTTAGCATTTTTAGTAAAAATTAATGAGATTCTGAAGAAGGAGATGCATCTGGTCTGTGAAATGAATGATGTTTATTTTTAAATCTATCTGCTCTTAAATAGCTGCAGCTCAGAAGTACGTAAATGTATACAATATCTCACTATTCCACCGAGAAGTAAAATAGTTTCAGCCAGCTGCTCAGTTGAAGGATTCTCATGAACGTTAACGGTCTCTGGATCTGGTCCTCAGCATGATCTCATATTAATTTAATATTGGTTCCTAGACAGAAACAAGTACCAGAATGCTGTGAGGTATTAAGGATTGAATAATTAAAAAAAAAAAAAAAAAAAAAAAAACAACATGCAGTATCTTGAGAGCAAGAAAGCTCTGAGAGATGCTACATCTAGCAGAGTTCCCTGCTGCCTCTTCCCAAGAGTGAATAAAGGGGAGCTGCGCCCCAGCAGCGACACTCTGACCTTCAGAAACCCTGGGAGTGCGCTCCTTCCCAACGGTGCGGGGCTGTGCCAGGCCCCGTCCCGCCGGGCTCCCAATACTGCCGGGCTCCCGGTGCCACCGGGCTCCCAATACTGCCGGGCTCCCGGTGCCACCGGGTTCCCGGTGCCACTGGGCTCCCAATACTGCTGGGCTCCCGGTGCCACTGGGCTCCCAATACTGCCGGGCTCCCGGTGCCACCGGGCTCCCAATACTGCTGGGCTCCTGGTGCCACTGGGCTCCCCGTCCTGCCGCCCTTCTCCCCGGCCCGGGCTCGGGCACGTTCCGCCTGTCAGGCCCTTCCCCTCGCATCGCTCTGGGCCACCAGCAGTGGCACAGCGTGCCGCTTCCTCGGCGTTTGTCAGGAGCCTGCCTTCGGAGGACGGACACGTTTACCAGGTAACCTGCATATTACATGTGAATTAATGTTGGCTTTTATGTATCTAATGCACATGCCAGGCTTTTAAAATTCTGTTTAATTGAATTATCTTGTCCAAGTGTCCAAAATCAGATACAAGCATGTGAGTTTTAATCTAAGCTGTTAATAAAAAGCTTAAGCTCTTTTAAATGAATACAGCTGAGCAAAAATATGTTTTCATATGATCCCAGAAGTTAAAACTTCGTAAGTCGCGTATCTTGTCTGTCTGCTCTACATGGTCAGGTTTCTTCTGTGTAGAAGTATTTTCCCCTCACTGTTGAAATCCTACCGTAGGCAGACGATGCACTTCTGCGGCACAGAAACGCTCGGGTGACCCACTGCCTGCCTGACGGTTGCTTGGAACAAAATGTACGCAACCTAAAAAAGGCTTTTTGAATTTCCAGGAGGAAATTGTGTAACTGTATTCACCATAAGCCATGCCGGTTTGAGTGCTGCTTAGAAAGCTTCCACCGGCAACGGGCAGCCCAACGTTTGCATTGGCATGTAAAAAAAAGTGGGACTATTTAGGTTAAACCAGGCTGCCATGCAGATGTCTTAAATGATGAATTAACTAACAGAGGGAATAGCTTCTTAGTCCTAAAATACACCGTATATCCATTCCTCTTGTAAAAATGCCACTCTTTTTGCAGCTGTTGGGTACAGGCAAGCTGTTGGTAGTTGGGGGCGTTACGTGGCAGGACCAAGGGTCGCTGGCTGCAGATTTTTAAAAGTTGCTTCAATAAGTCGCCAGGTTTAACAAAACGAAACAAAACTCAAACTCCATGGTGGGGGGGGAAAAGCCTCCGTGCTCCTCTATTCAAAGAATCAAAATTAATGGTTTAACTGGATTTTGCTAACCTTGTGGTTGTGCAGCCTACCCGGCCCTGGAATGAGCCTGCAGGTTTCAAGCTCACAAGCTCAACCAAGACTAGAAATGAATCGTATGGACCTGAAATTTTCAGCTGCGGTACAGCAGAAAGAGGGATAACTGTCAGCTAATGAATAATTGATTCCATCGCAGGCTGAATGCTGAACTTGGGGACAGTGTATCGCGTTGGAGGAGCTGCTTCGTTTGCCTGGCGGTCGCACGCCGTCCCAGCGACGGTTCCTGCGGTGCACCTCGATTCCTCTTCCACCTTCCCCTCATCGGCTTCCCCAAAGCCACCGCGCTGGGCTGGCAGACTGCCCTGCTTGTCCCGAGAGGAATTCACGGATCCCCGTAACTCCAGCAGCTGAACAGCACGGAAGGATATTCGTGCAGTGCACTTAACGTACGATAAAGCATCGCGATTTTTCCGAAGTCATGTCTGAGGTTAAAAATTAGCAATAGAACTCTAAAACAGTGGACCAAACCCACAAACGGTCAACAGCCTCCATGTTAAAAGAGATTTTTTTTTTTTTTTTTTTTTTTTCCCATGGACTGCCAGTGACTGTTTAGCTAGCATCTGTGCTAGCCATGTCTTTCCTGCCATATGAGGTAGCTGATACTATTGTTAACGCTGAAAAAGTTGTAAAGCATGAACACCATGGACAATAATATGCTATCTCTAGTTACTTTAAACCTGGGTGACTACAGGTCTGTTGCCAGTGCAGTGCATGATACATTTTTATCCTATTAAATGCTGGTTTATTGTCAGGAATAAAAATTAACACGGAACAAGGAGAAAATCCGGTAACATACACTATCAAGGACAGAAAATTATACAGTGGCATACTGACAGTGCTGAGGAACACCAAGCATGTCCAGAGGACTTTAAAGACTTTCAGGACAGAGAGGTTTCTCCCTCCCAATAAGAGGGGACTGAGCACTACTCCAAGGCTGGCTCAGCTGCCCCCCAGGCAAGCTTGCAAATGAAAAGGATCTCTATCCGATCACTGTGGTGACAAATGAAGCCTTAGAACTCTGAGCTTCAGAGATGCATTCTGAAATTAAAAAAAAAAAAAAAAAAAAAAAAACAAAAAAACCCCAGACTTTCCACCAGTTTCTCTCACAAAGTTTACTGTTCCAGAGAACTTCAGGTGTTTTTCCTTACCATGCCCACCAGTGTTTAAAACGCAGACGTGTCCAACAGCTATGCAACCTACCTGCAGCTCCCTAGAGAAAACATGAACTTGTAAAATCCCAGTGCTGAAGTTCACCTCCACCACCAGCCCCACTGCAAAACGGCTGTAAAATCGTTCGTACAGCGCTTAAATAAAAGCCCTGGGGCTGAAATGTAGGTGGTGCCGGGCATTAGCCCTGCGAGGCGGCTTTGCAGGCAACAAAACGGAAACGCGGCGGTGTTTCTCTGCTAAATAAAGCAGTGTTTTGGCCAGGGACGAGAAAAGCGAGGGCAAACATCCCACGTCGTGTCTCCAGCCTGTCACACCGAGGCGCGCAACGTTACTTGAAAATCCCTCAGGTTTAGAAACGCTGCGGCACGCTTAGACGGAGGGCTTTAGGGGGGGGCTGGATGCTTTAAAGGTAAAACGGTGATAATAATAACAAAACTGAGGTGAAGTGCGGGGCTGCCCCCGCCGCTGGGCGGGAAGCGGCGACTGCTGCGGCGCAGCCGCGTAATGGCGGCGGCGGCCCCGCCTCAGGGCGTCACAGCGACGCGCCCGCCCCCGCCCTACGGTGGCCGCGGCGCGTTGCTCCCCGCGCTCGTCTCCGCGCTCCGCGTTCCTCCCCGCGCTTCGCCGCCGGCTCCGGGGAAGCGGCGGGGGCGGCGATGTCCGAGCGCCAGCAGGCCCGGCGAGGCCTCAGCCCGCCTTCCCGCCGGCACAGCGGACGCTGGGTCGGGCCCTGAGCCGCCCCGGAGCCGGGTAACCCCCCCCCCCCCCCTCCCCTCCCGCGGTGAGCGCTGAGGAGCCGGCGAGGCCTGGGGCTGCCCCGGCCTGAGGGATGGGGATCCTCTTCACCAGGATATGGAGGCTGTTCAACCACCAAGGTGAGGAGGTGGAGGAGGGCGGGCCGGGCCTGAGGGCGATCCGCGGCGCGGGGAGGGCTCGGGGCGGCCGGGGGCCCGCCCTTGCGAACCGGCCCCGGGGGAACGAGCTGCCGCCACGAAACTTGAGGGGGGTTTAACCTTTTTTAAACCACCCCCCCACCACCCCCCCCTCCTCTTCGAAGTCACCGGGAAGCTCGTTTCCCGAAAGCTGGGTGTTAAATGATTAACGCGTACCCGCAGCATACAGCTGCGTGGCGTTGCAGCGTCTGGTTTCGTCTTCGTCGGCAGAGCACGCTTTAGGAGCTGTTTTAAGTGATAAAACCTCCGTATCTGGCAAAGTTGCGCGTTTGTGGAGCAAGCGGTCTAAGTAACTTCAGCTTTGTAACGCCTGTCTCCTCACAGCAAGGTTTTCATGGGAGTTGTAACTTTATGAAACACATGCTGCTCTTATCTGTGTTTATAAGCCCTTTTAAATTGAATTTGAGTGAACCCAAATGTGCTTACACGTGCATGTTGAATCTCCCGGTTATGTGCCCAGTGACGCTGAGTGCAAATACAACAAAATATTTTTGTCTTGTAGCATCCAGCCCCACCTCAGACCTTCTGTTCCAGCCGATTTCCTAAGCTCCACTGTGCTGGCAACATCACACCAGAAACAAAAGTTCCTAGTTATGTGGGGTCAGGTAAGCAGATATTTTTACAATATTGTGCAGTTATGCAAAGTTATTAAAACTGGAACTTACGTTTGATGGTGTATAAGACAACTCTGCAAAACCACACAATATTGATAAAATCAAGGCCAAGAACACCCTGCTTACCTGACCCCTTTCCCCTCCCTCTTTCCTCTGTGATAAATCAATGCAAGTGTACTTTGCTGACCGAAGGAATTGATCTCTAGTCCTCTGAAACTTGGGCACTCTTATAATGGCTTTGCGTTGCCCCTGTGGACCACTGAGGAGGAGGAGAGGAAAGCCCCTTCTCCCAAAGCTTTTACTTGCTTGAATAGTCCTGTTGAAGCCCAGGTTATTTGTGCGAGTAAAAGTTGTGTAATACAGCTGAAAGCAGGCAGCACTCACTCGTCCTGGAAATCATAAATTTGAATGTACTTGACAACACCAGCAGTAGAACTCAAATTCAATTTTGTGATGCATAGGAAAGAAAGTGCTAAACAGAAACAATAATTGATTCTGGCATTGAGCTCCAAAATGCGTTCGCATATGTGTCAGAGTAGTTTTGTGGAGTACTCGCTGGTTCATCTAAAACTAAATTGGGTGAATGCGTACTGTAAAATATTCGTAGGCAAATCTGTTCTCTGGGTTCCAAACCTGCAGGGAGGAAACGAGGACACTGAGGAAGGCAGGTGAATCACCCTGCTTACAGTGCAAGGCAGTTGTTGTGGTTTTTAACAGCTCTTTCCAAAGAGATTAAGATGTTGCAGGCCATAATAAAAGTACGGCCTTGGAAATGAGCAGTTAACACGTTTAAGCACGTGTTCTGGAGAACTACTGTAGTGGGGGGGAATAGAGAGTGCAGTCTGCTACAGGCTGCAAAAATGTGTAGAAGCCTGGGAAAGAATTCCAGCATGAGATTGCTCTAGCGGTTTAGAGAAGGAAAAAATCTGCATGTAGTCTCTCAGAAATTGTTCCTGTAGATGTGCAGGCGGGGAAAAATTGACAGTCACTTACCTACTCAGAACAGTACATGGGTTTGTATACCTCCACAGACAAACAGACTTTTTGGTACGGCCCCTGAAACATAGCACCTGAAGTTTGGCAATGTTTGCCTAGGGAATCAGTCTCAAATGCCACACTAGCCTTGTTTCATAGCACAGCTGTTACCTTGATAGCAAAGTTAATTATGTGACTTACTAGTGATATTTTTATTTCAGAGCACAAAGTAATCATTGTTGGTCTGGACAATGCAGGAAAAACGACCATTCTTTATCAATTGTAAGTATGGACTGCAGGTGATGTTTAATGTATTTCAAGGTGTGCACTGTATGTGTTACTCTGACTTGTTGTCGCTGTTTTCCTTGTTAGTTTTTACTTTGAGAGCATTACACTGAAGATTACTGAACGGTATAGGTGGCAGCGGGTCACAGCGTGTGTTTAGAGTTTGGAAAGGTCTGTATTTTGCCTGATGTATGAATAAGGTTTTGTTCAGAGCTTTTATTTATCAGATTACATTGCTATTACCACTTAATCACAACTGCCTTTGGTGTCACTGTGTAGGCTGTTTGCCAGCTCCATAAAATATGATTAGATTGAGGGCTGGCCACAGGACGATGCTGCTAAACCCACCCGTGCCGCAGCGTGCGGATACTAAACAAGTTGTTGTGAGCAGCAAAGCACCGAAGCCTGACCTCTCCCTGCCGTGGCTTGTGTCCCGTGTGCCAAGATGTGCTTTCGTGTCGCTTGTGGTACAGGATGAAGGAGGATGGCTGGGTGCTGGCTGAAGCCAGGACAGCGTAGCTCCGCCGCCGGTGGCAGCCCAGGCTGCCAGGCCTTCATTTGAACCACCAGCTCTGGAAGCTGCCGTGCAGCTTCTGCCTTTAATAGCGGCATTGACTCGTGTTTGCCTTGCGTTAACCTTGCTGCTGGTTTACGTGAAACTTGTATGAGCTTCGTATCTCTGGTCCTCAACTGCATGTTGATAAAAGGGTACAAATTTGTCCACGGACTCAGAAGTTCCTAGGTGGGACAGGCGGCTCAAGGTCTGTTTATAATAGAAACAGATTTGCAGCTTCTCATGTGAAGTCGTCTGGTATCTGAAAGTGTTCCCGAGTCAGTATCAGAAATAATTCCTGTCAAGTGAAATGACCATACTGGTCCAATCCTGCACTTAGAATATGCCTTCTTAAAATGTTTGGGGTTTGTTGTATTATGATCTGGTTTTGCCTTTCTAAAGCATGAAACTCATGCAGCATTTGCAGCCACTTATGCCCTAGCACGCTCTGCAGAGAAAGTGAAAAAGATGAAGGTGGTTGTCATTACTTAGATCAGGAGTGAGAGATTTTTAAAAGCATCAGTAGAATGAAGAGTATTTTTTAACACTAGTAACTGCTGCAGCTGAGGGTTGTCCTTAGTGCATTTTAATGCTGCCTGTGTCTTTCCACTTCCTCCGCTTCTTCTTTCCATCTTCTAATTTCTGCAGTCTCAGTGTTTTCTTTTCCCTTTTGTACCGTGGGTCTCTGTATGCCTCCTTTCCCTTTATACTCATTTTAGCTCCACAGGACTACTTCCCCTTCTCTGCTCTTCTATTCCCCTTCCCCTATTTGCCGCTTTGACAGAGCTCTGTGTGAGTACTGTCCTGTGTTCCTCCTTAAACCTTACCTCCATCTGTGCCTATCCTGTTTTTTCTCTTGCTGTTTCTTTGTGGCAGATAAGTGTTCCGAGCATGAATGTTTAACTCTCTTTTCATAAAAGATGGGCAGAGATAACTAGCAGGGCAGCTCGTGTCGGGTAGTGCGTTGGCCGTTACTTTTGATGTTGTGGAGGGTCACAGCAGACGTCGGAGTGGTGATTCTTCTAACAGATCGTGGCAGCTCCACAGACATTTCATTTCTGCCCGTTCTCGTACTCGAATCTCCTGCCTCCCCTCAGGCAGCAGCAGGAGTTTGTGACCGGGTGTCTAGAAATGCCATTAAGCTTCATGCTCACCTTCTTTCAGTGGGGAGGAGGGAGAAATCCACCGATCGTATTGCACCCTGCGAGATGCCAACAGCTTGCACGTGGAAGGCTGCAGGTTCAGTCAAGGAAAGAGGATTCAAGATGCAACTCTTCCAAGCATTAAAAGGATTCTGCTAAAACCCGTTTTCTAACTATGAAATCAGCTGCAGGCATCATCTTATATCATTGCTATCCTTAACTGATTTTGTGATTCTTCTAATCCTTCTCTTTCCCTCATATAGTTGCCTTCAAATGTATGTGGTGAGAAAGATTCTTGTTATGTGCTGCTAAGACACTGGGTAACTGGGATTCATTTTATCTCCTTGGTTCTCTCTATCCTCTTCAAGAAATATTCCAGCACTGTTACTATTCTCAAAGTGCTGTCACTGTAACTAAAAGCTCTGCTAAAGCTTCAAAAAATGTTCACAGAAAATGAAAAAAATATATTGAAGATTATCAGAAGAATAAATAATTAAGTTCTTTGAAAATGGTTGCCATTTTCAATGAAGCTTCTTTTAATTTTTTTCCATATCGCATACGGTAGAGTTTAAATAATTTGAACTTCAGGAATATTCAGAGTACACATTTGGTTATTGCTATTCATGTGGAACTGGTGGTGTTGAAGTTGCACGCAGTATCTCTAAAACTATATATTTGAAATATTTAATGTCTGTGTGTGTCTCCAGAAAGTAGTGTTATTGCACTGTGCTGAAGAGAGAAGAGAAGGAAGTTTGGACGTAAAGTAACTGAATTGTGAGGAAAGTACACTCTTATGGGCCTAGACTGGAAGGAGAGTGAGATGTAGTATGTTTGGTGGAGTTGGATGATGAGTTGTTGTTTTTCTGCAACCTTGGAAATCTTGTGGCTTAACCACATTCTTGAAGAAAAACAACTTCTCTCTCCCATGAGTGCCAAAATTGGCCTGGAAAAAGAAAAGCTGACTGCTTAAAACAGCTTCTGAGGCAAATATTCTCTCAGCTTTATGATTTAATTAATTATCTTATACTTTTGTTCATGAATGCTCTCTCAGCTTTGTAATTTGATTATTCTATAGTTCACTGAGTCCTTTTTTTATTGCTATTTTTATCAATTGTTATTTTTATTCGCCCTCCACTGTCAAACTTTGCCTCCGTTTGCCGCGTAACGAGCATTTGCTACGATTCCCCCGCTAAGCCTTCCACCTCGGAATAACCACCAAGCTTAGTTTTTAGGGCACTTTGGAGCCCTAAGGTGCTCGATAGTGCAGGTAACCTGCCAGTGTCTGCAGTTTCTCACCGAGCCACTCTCTCTCCCCCTTTCCGCAGCTCCATGAACGAAGTGGTGCACACCTCGCCCACCATCGGGAGCAACGTGGAGGAGATCGTGGTTAACAACACGCGCTTCCTGATGTGGGATATCGGGGGGCAGGAGTCCCTCCGCTCCTCGTGGAACACCTACTATACAAACACGGAGGTGAGGGCGGGCGCCTTGCTGCGCGGCTCGGTGTGGCCGGGGCTGGGGAGGGCCCTGCTAACCGCGCTCTGTTCTCGTTTTTTGAAGTCTCCTCCTGAGCAAGCTGTCGTACCGCTCGCTTTTATGTTTCTTACAGAACGCGGAGCTGCGATTGAAAACCACTTGTCTGTAAGGGGTTTTGGGTCTGGGGATCTGCAGCCTGAGGGCAGGGGCTGGGTTTGTCCTGGTCCTGCAAGATCCCCCTGTTTACAGGTCCCTTCTTGTTGACCACAGCTGCACTATCTCTGTAGCAGGTACTCTAAAACCTGTCTAACCCCTCACAAATAAGACTGAAAGCCCAAAAGATTTCCCTCAAGACTGTGGGAGCTCTGTCTTGCAAGCTCCCATGATCACTTAAGCACCCCTAAGAATTTTAAGAACTCTTTAGCGATGAAGTTGCAGCGCATACACTGAACTTGATTAAAATAATGATTTAAGTCCAGGTTTCCTATCTATTATCAAATATGTGGGGTTTTTAAAAAAGTTATTTTTTTATAATAATTAACTTCGTTCTCCTGTGCTTCTCTATGAGATGCTGTGACATGTATATGCGTGTGTGCTCTTGAAGTATGGAGTTTATGGGTCTTTTTAAATCTGTTGCAAATACCTATTTGCATGTTAGTGTTTGAAGTAGAGGAAGCAAGTCGGTACAGTTTACCTTTTAAAGGCTGCAACATTATTTGAGGGGTCTGCCTGCTACCTCAGTTATGTTAAGCAAAGAACAAAACCAGATCTGGGGTTAGAGAGAAACGCACGCTTTCAGTATAAATTTTTCACTTGAAAATCAAAAGCAGAAAGGCAAAAGACATGTCAGAGCTACCTGTCTATATAAAACACAGCATAAGCTGTAAACTGTAGCAGGGCTGGGAGAAGGGTATCTGGAATAGGATGAGATCTGATCATCCAGCTGACTGTCTGGGTAATGTGAGGGGGACAGTAATCTGTTCTGCTGATGGGTGTGTGGCTGGAAAGATAAAATTTGTTCTCCGACTAATAACTTTTCACTTTTTAAAGTTTGTGATAGTTGTTGTGGACAGCACAGACAGAGAGAGAATTTCTGTGACTAAAGAAGAACTGTATAAAATGTTAGCACACGAGGTGAGTAGACCCTACGTTTTCTTTGGTTTAGCATTTTTTGTGGGTGAGATCTGGGTGGTACATGTTCAGGGTCACACGCTGTTTGTGAAAGCTCTGGCTTCCTCCTGCTCGCTGGAGACAGACCAGAGTGGAGAGAGGCCTCTGCAGCCAAGCCCGGGGCAAACGCTCGCAGCCGCCTTCCCCCAGCTGCGGGCAGCGCTGTGCCAGAGCTGTCTCTTCCTGCTACAGGCTCTGTCTTTTGTGAAGCTCGCAATAAAGCTGTAAATTAATACCAAATTACTGAGGAGAACTCCCACAAAAGCAGCTTTTCAGCTTGTGAGTGCTTCGGTGAAACAGAAGTTAGAAGTTCAGAATGACTTTTGTGGTTTTTATACTTTAATCCGTATTAGTAGCTGAATGAGATTGTTTTAAAAAAACATTGCTTCCTCCAACAATTTAATTACTGTTTTTGATAGCTTCACGGTTGCTTGATGTTTTCTGTTTTCACAGTGAAACAGATACAGCCTTAATAGTAAGTCTTTTAGCAACCAGCTATGAAATAGAAGAAATTGTCTGTGGCTATAGTAGCCGTCGTTCTATGTGTGTGTGGAATTACAGAACGAGAGTATAATTTTCTAACTTGTAAAGACCCTCTTTAAAATTGAGCACCGTGATAGGTCCAAAAGTGAGCTGTCTGGGTCTGATTTTAAAAATACCGGAGTGCCATGTAGGCCAGGGAGCAGCTCTTACATGACCTGAATGTCCCAAAGACTTTAATCTCTCCATGCGGAGTGGCAGGACGGGAGCCCTGATTTTTACTGTCCATATGTTTATACGAGCTTGACTACTGCTGGGACTCGTAAGACAAGTTTAATGCGAACTGGATCAGTTTGTATGAGATGACACTGAGGACACTGAGCTTCCAAATTGAAGAATACAAAGATGGGCATAAAATTGATGGCATTAGATCCCAGAATGTTACATCTATTTTTAAACTACAGCCACTGTTTAGTAGGTGACTGCAGGAAGGGCAAAGACTGCCTATGTCTTTCCTTTGAGTGATCATGGTCATCTAAAGCATTTGAGAAAAAAACAAGTGCTTTGGCTTGTGTCTTGAATTTCTAATTTTTGGTATTTAAATCAAAATTATGTTTAATAAATGACTTCTATTAAAGTAGGTCTGGCTTTCTCAGTTGTGGTGGAGTGTTAAATGTGGCTTGGGAGGACTGTTGCCATTGGGTCCACTGCTGTTGTAATCAGAATTTCAGAGACGTGCTCTTCAGTCTGTTGCAGTCGCTAAACAAAATCGCATCTTCTCTTTTGTAATCTATAAATGAAGATGCAGAAGTTGTTAACGAACTGAATGTGAAATGAGGGAAGTCTGGAACTCCGAGCACCATGAATGCCCTCGCTTCGTTTTCGGAGACTATTTCTGTGCTCCGAAAGCGCCCATCTGACAGTAAATGTGCCCATTGTTTTACAACAGGATGTTTTCAGTATATTCTGCTAACTTTCCAGATGCTGCGGCCTTTGAAGAGAACAACAATACACATAAGCTGAAATGAAAGTCAAATATTTATTTAGAATAGCTTTTCCTTGCTGTCCTTGAAAATCTTTTATTTCCTATAATCGGTTCAGTTGAATTGGTGAGGCAGAGTTGAGTTGCCCAGGTTGGTTCCGTCTGTTTTCTGAACCAGTAGATCATTTGGGAATTAATTTTACTGCTTATGAAAATAAGTGTGCCTGATCTGCATTTAAGTGACTGAGTTGTCTTGGCTTCCTGGGAAGACCCTTTTACTTTTGGAGGGACAGATTTTCAATGGTACGTGCCTGGACTAGCGTGATTCCAAGCAGCCTGAGATAGAATAAGCTTGTCCCTAGAGTTTCTTTTCCCTAAATTGTTAGGACTGATATTTTAAATGTTGCATGGGACTTAAAAGGTTTATTGAAACGTGCTTGTTCACATAGATGTCCATCCTTTGATTCTAAAGCAGTGTAAGTGATGATTTTCTACAAATTCTGTGTATCTTCTGATAGAATATTACTGCAGCTTGCTTTACACTGTCAGTGCCGGTCTGAATGCCGCTTAAAGGGTGGGATTTCCCTCGCTTAAAAAGTGCTGGTGGGGTAACCCACTCCTGCCCCACCCAAGAGCTGCTGCCCAGTCTACTGATTTGCTACTGGAGTCAATCGTAACGGCGTGGCAATACGGGGAAGCGCGGCGTGTAGGTAAAAGGCAGGCTCAGGAGAACGCCGTGCTTGGTTTGGGGACGCAGGCAGGAGCGACCTGCGAGGTCGGGGTTGAAGGGGAGGCCTCGGCTGTTGGAGGTGTGAGGCGTTACTGCAGCTGCACACACACAGATACCGGGGTGCTTCCAAGCCTCGGGGAGCGCAACTAAATATCGTACCTCGTTGTGCAGGTCAGCCTGGGCAAAGATGGGATGTTTGGTCTCAGAGGATTTTCTGAAGTTACATGTCGATCAGCCCGCGGCGTTGTGTAGTTTAGGTTTTTTTGCTAGGGCTTAAGATTCTGTACTTTGGTGTCACATCTCTTGCCTCTGAGGGCTGATTTGTAATCATCTTTTTTTTTTCTTTTTTTTTCTCCTTAGGACTTAAAAAAAGCAGGTTTGCTGATCTTTGCTAACAAGCAAGACGTTAAAGAGTGTATGACAGTAGCTGAAATATCTCAGTTTCTAAAACTGACTTCGATTAAAGATCACCAGTGGCACATTCAGGCATGCTGTGCTCTAACTGGAGAGGGGTAAGAGTTATTCTTGTCTGTAGGAGGGAAATCTTGAATTATTTTGGTATTTTTATTGTGGTGTTTGGTTTTAACACACATTCCTCCTCTATCAATAATAATCTTACACTTAAAGACTTTTGGGCTCAGAACACACTGACTTAGGATCGCTGTGATCTGAAAAGTAACTTTCACATCAAATCTGCAGTCTCACCTCACAGTGATAAAACTTTGTGATTTGGGTCTAATGAGGGCAGGGGGTGGGAACGACCTAAAATCTGTTCTGGCTTATTGAGAATGATCATATTAGAGGGAACGTCTGCATGTGTCTTGAAGTGCTGGGATCTGAAGTCTCTCACCCGGGGATCGTACAATAAGATGAAAATACTGTGCTCGGAGTGAATTGTTTCTGGAAATTATTCCTTCAGTCAGAATTAGAGAGTTCTTAGGAAGAATTTATATTGGTGCCATGGAATTATCTTTAAAGTATATCCCAGAAGTACATGTATTCCTTAAAAACGCTCTCTTTTGTTTACAGACTCTGCCAAGGACTCGAGTGGATGATGTCGAGACTTAAGATCAGATGATTTTTAATGACCTCTTTGCACAGACATTGCTTAAAAAGAGCTGTACCCGTGATTACCTTCACAGTGGCAGAATTAATGGGATAGATGTATTTATACTGAACTGATTTCAACTTTATTTTCTACATAGATGCACACACACGTACGTGTATATAAATAAGACCATTTGGCAAAAAGAAAGATGCAGTTGATGGCTCCAGTTTGGTTTCCTGTTTGTTTTCCTCTGAAGATGCATTTAAAAGCTGTGATCAACCTTCTTTTCAAGATACAGCCACTGAGAACAGTCCGATGTTGACTGTGGTGAAGATGAAGTGAGAGGAAGGAGCTTTTATCTCTGAGTTTTATTATTCCACTGTAGTCCTCTCTAGTCGAAGGTGTTGGCTTCATTATTCCAGTAAATTAGCAAGCAAATCAATGGCATAGATATCAACTTTCCAGTATTTTTAAGGTTACTGATGTTACAAATGCAAAAATATTTTCCTGTATGTGTACTGTACATATTTGTGTATATTTATACCTCAATTTTAGGTTAATTGCAATCTGTTCAGACCAGTGTGTAAAGCTGAATCGGTATGTTGACAGTAGGACTAATATTTGACGTCGCCAACATGTCACAACTCCTTCTCCTTTGTCAGCTGTAGGGCTGTAACGTCCATCAGGCAGTTGGCTCACCGCAACTTTATAAAGCAAACTCTCTCCTAAGACCAGGGGTTGTTTTCTCACATGATTTTTTAGTTGGGGAGGATGCCCTAATGAATCGGGGCGTATGGATTGAGCTTCAAATTACAGTGGTGGCAAACAGTAAAAATTTGCCGGAGTGTTTAAAATTAAACGGATTTTTTTTTTTTTTTAATTGCAGTCATCATTGGATTGGTTGATTCCAAAAAGTGTATGTCATCCTGTCTGATGGTACTGCTTTTTTTTTTTTTTTTATTTGCAGTACTGTTCATTTATGATTCAGGTCTAGTAGAAGTACCTTTAGCTGTCTTAAAGGGAAAAATGTCATCTTGTTTTTTGTTGTGTTTTTTTTTTTTTTTGTCTTAACCAAAGAAGAGGCACGAAAGTACGTTTAAAAGTCCCACTGGAATCTTACAAAACAAGTCACGCTCTGTATTAAGTGTTTTTCAGAGGAAGGCACACTTCTCTTTGGTAGCATAAAATGTATATGTATCTGTATGCAATGGATGGAACTGGGATGGAGACCGAAACAGATTACACTACTTGAAAAGCTGTAAGTGACCCCTCGATCATGTTCCCACAGAAGTTCCGGGGCGGTGCTTCTTGAAAATGTAACTCCCTTGCATGGTCCCCAGGTGAGTTCTAAAGAAGTCTCAGAACACTATGTGATTGTCTTTTCTTCCTGCAGCACCTAACCCCGTCCAGAAGTTGTTTGGCATCACCATTTGAAAGGATACAGGCTTTTCAGTGGGACGGCAGTTGGCTGGGTTGAAATGTCGTCAGTATTGTGAACGTGTACGTAGCCTTAATCAGAGGCTTTTGTGTTGGAGATGTATGTTCGGGGAGCATAGCAAAATGAAATAAAACTTTGTTTAAAATGTCCTTCCCTTTCTTAGCTCATCTCTCTGATAAGGATGGAAAAGACATTTTAAAGAAGCAGCCTAGTTTGAACTTTTTAAGGTGCTTATCTTGGGTTATGGGATAATCTAATCAGCGTGCCTGCCTTCCCGCTCGCCTGCTTCACTGTCATCATGTTGTGAATTTGTAGGGAAAAGAAGGGAGGCAACTTCAAAAGTCTGTAGTTAACAAAAGCAGGTAAAGAATTTAACTTTTTAATATATTTTTGGTATCTCTTTACGATGCTCACTGGCTAGGGAATCTGCTGTCTTTGTTAAACATTTTAATGTGTACATGCATATATTTATAGTGCATGCACATAGGTATTGGTATTTAACTGGTGTATTGCAAAATGTATAAATGTTTGAAGAAATAACAATTTAATGCAAAGACTTTCTCAGTTTATCTGATGGTATCTGCAAGAAACGAGCTCTGTGCGCCCTTGCATATGAAATGGAATTGTACGTTTTCTAGTCTTAAAAAAAGAAAAAGCAGACTTGCTTACAAACCGAAGCATTTGGCTTTTGAGTCTTATGTCTTCCCTTTCATCTCTTTAAAAATATTTTGCTTTAGTATTGTTAAATACTGCATACTTCTGCCTGAATCTGCACAGGTGGTGTGTGTTGGGTTTTTGTTTGTTTTTAAGAGAGTTGTTCCTGTTAACGAAAGAAAAGCCACGTAGCAGTATTCTGCTATCTGCTTCCTGCTGAAATTTGCTGCTTACTCCCTCGCTTTAATTTGTAGGATTTAGCACATCCATATAATGAAAGCGTGGTGGGGTTTTCCAGGTATGCCTTATGTTACAACCAGACAGCTTATGTTTACACAGAAGTCAATTTATGTTTACTTTTTCCCCTCTCAGTATCCTGGCCTCTTCCACTTTCTGCAGCCTCTAAGATACCGCGTGGTTCGCTTCATCTTCGTTTCACAAGCGGCAGCAGACCCTGGTAGGGAGTTGGGAATAACTGCTCACGTGAAGCCTGCCTGCTCAAACAATGTCTTTTGTGCCCTGAAGAGTTCATAATCCAAAAATTAAATCGTTCTCCGTGTGTTGGGAGGTGAACAACCCAACCTTCACCCGACTACCAAAGGGTGCGTGGCACGTCACGTGTGCCGACGAGTTTTCCGTCTGGTTTGGGATCCCCCCAGTACTTTGGAGGGAGTTCAGTGGTGGGCAGTGCTTGCAGACGCGTCGCGTGCCCGTAGCGTTCTTGGCGGGGGGGCTTAGGAATCAGAGGAAGATAGAGCTTCGCTCTGAATGCTGGGCTTGCAGTCTCCATAAGCGGGGTGGATTTTGGCTGTAGGAGCTGGGTTGTCAACAGGGGTGCCGGTTCCAAACTCTCCCCTTGCACGCTGGGTGTGATCCTGTTTCTAAGCGCAGCAAAGCCTAGCGAAGGCGGAGCAGCGTCATCCGGCCGTTGCAGTGGGAGCTTCTGCAGGAAAGTGTCTCTGCCTGGAGGTTCTTCCTGAGAACGAGTGTGCTTGCTCGGGTTCTCACGAGGTGAACAGCAGAAGAATGTGCGAGCGCATGCCCTCCTGGTAGTGCTGTGGCTGTTGCCTTCTGTGCAAAGTTAGAAATGCTTTTAAATTTACTCACCTTAGCAGGGCTGGCGAAGAGCAGACCGACTTTGGAACACACAAACCCTTTTTGTCTGTGCTGCTTGTTTAGAGCTTTTTTTTTTTTTTTGTCTTTTCCCTGTAGGACAATTCACATTTTTCTCGCAGCTCTGTAGAAAAGCAAGTTAACTTTGCATCAGTGCTGCTTTCAGCTTCATTCGGTTATTCTTTGGAAGTGATTGTCTTAACATGAGTCATGACCTTGACTTGTATTGCTTTTGTGTTTTCACCCCCTGTGTGTTGTGTTGCCTTGGCTTTCAGCTAAAGCTCAAGATTACTTTGCCTTTGTTCTTCATGAAATTCATTCTTAGGATATTATACGGAAAAAGGGAGGGGATTTTAAAAATGGTGATTTGAGTTTATGCTGCCGAATGGCATTTTACTAGCAAAAATAAATACAGCAATAAGTCATATTTCAGTAGTCTAATACTTAAAATGATGCTTTTGCTTTAGCAGATAACAAACTTGGTAAATCACCTCTGTAACATGTTGCCTCTGTGAGCTAAAAATTATTATACAGGTTTTTAATCGTGAGGAAAGGCGGAATATAGAACTTGGAAAATGTGAACAGGAATCTACCTAGCTTCTTTTTTTACTTCTTATTTTTCCCAGGGAGGTTGAATAGCTGTTTTCCTATGCGTTATACAGTGTGTTTCTAGGTGTAGGTGTGCGGGTGTGAATGTTAAACATATGTGATGGGCACCTTCTACAGTCTGTGCAGCTCAAGTGCCTAAAACTAGTTCGGTGAGCTTTGGTTTTTTTTTTTTCTTTCTATGCTACAATTTCCATTTTCCTTAAAATAGATATATTTCTATAACAGCATCCAAATGTGTGTAAATGAGTGGTTTTTTTCCCCTCCCTACACACCGGTTTTAACATAACTTCCAATAAGTTTTTTTTACAGTTCCGTTCTATCCCCTACATTCCAAGCACTTTTCCATTTATCAGACATCACATAGCCGGCTTGCTTTGTGAAAGGAAATATTAAATTTGTCCTTGTATCAGATTGGCTAGCTGGAATTCTTTTTGAGGAATTCTTTAAATAATAACTTAATCCAAGAATACTTGGCCTTGGCAGCATCCTCATGTCACTAGCTCCTTTTTAATTGGCTAGCAAAACATTAACTTTGCAACCGTGAGATAAATTATGTCTAAAAAATTGTTTTCAGCCAATTCGAGTGAATGTAATATTAAGCCTTTAAATGGTGCATCGCTGAGCGTTAGGGGACAGAACTGATTGGATGTCACGAGGAATGGCACTAAGAAAGAAAAACGTCTTTGCATATAGTCGTGATGTGTATTAAAAATACAAATGTGACTTGAGTATAATTGTTGCAGCGAATATACTAAATGTACAAAATGAGAAATTATAAGTGGTTGCCACTAACTTTTCTATAATGTGCTTTAGAATCGTAAGCAGAAAATATATTCTTGCCTTACTAGGATTTTACTGGTTCATTTTTATATTGTACAGAGACTTTTTTTGAAAATGTTCTTCACATTAGATGGAAGCCTTTATTCATAACATTCATAACCATACTCGTGTACCACCCTTAACCTTTTAAGCCAGATTTCTTGAGAGTAAGGACACGAGTTGGGTGAGGTTTTTAAGCTTTTCCTATTTGTAAATTTAGAAAACTTAGCTGATACTAAATTAAGCTAGAAAATGCTGCTTTACCTAGAAGGCTATAAATCATTCTTTGTAAATCATCAGCTCAGTGTTACTCTTGTGTATAAACACTTCCTGCATCAAACGCTGTGGAGAGTAGAAGAGGTGGCCAAGAAAAAACGGATCCACCTGCGGAGAGATGCAAAGAGTTTTAGAAACAACCAGACACCTCAGGTTGGAAATCCTGAGCGCTTTCATGGCGACTGAATTGGTACTATATGGTAGACGAGTGGTAACTGATCCAGTTTGAACCGTGTCTGTATGAGTGTTTTCATGGATGTTTTCAACGTGTCCTCAACTTTCTTCCTTTTCCGCACCCTTTACCCCGTGGCCACAGCCCGTTGGTGCTCGGTCCGAGTCTGCCCTTGCGGCTCCGGGGGGGCCAGCAGGTCTCGGGGGACCCAGCTCCTCATCCTTACCCTCCACCAAGTACTGGCCTGTAACACCAACCTCCAACACTAAGCCTGCAGTTCTCGGCGGGTAAAGGAAGCGGATCAGATTAGTTTAGTAACCATGTAGTTGCATTATAGTAGATTATCTGTCTGTTTTTTACAAATGCAAAGTAGCAGCCGTATGTGCACGCATTAATCATACAACCAGGGTCATATTTCTTTTGATCGCTTGTATTTTGTACTTCTCTTTCTACAAACTTTGTCTTCTTTCCGAAAGAAGTGCGTAAAGTATGTGGCTAACACTGATACTGCAATAAAATGTCATTCCAGAACATACAAAATTACTGCTTCAAATTGATACCAAGACTTGTGAGGGCCGGTGTTTCCTGGCTTGAGTACTTTTCTGGCTGAAACTTGAGCATGTTTATTGAAGTCATTTAGGTAAAACTTTTTATAAAGCTATTTATTCAAATAAAGTTCAATTATGATTCTGTTAAATAACTTTTCCTGAAATGTTGTCAGAACATTCCTTGAACTGTTTCCCCCTTACCTCTTTCTGTCTCTTCTGACTTTTAAAATCTGATTTTCATTTAGTTGAAGGGAACTCTTTCAGTTCTTCTAATTCTTGTTGAAGAAGTGAAACAAACACAGATTTGATCTAAAATCTTTGAGAGGGGAGCTGCGTACAAGCATGTAGACACATTTATAGATAATGTCAGAATTGCTAATTCTTAAAAACCTACCAGTATTGATTAAGATGAAAGCACTTGTCAAAATTGTACTGTTTGCATCAAACCTTTTGCGTGGACGTGTTGCGGTGAGACTTTTCAAGCAGAAATGGTTTCTGACCTAGTACGTGGGGCTGCCCAGCCGCTGCTGGGGTGGAATGCGCTGTTCTGCCGAACCTGTGGTGACGGGCTGTGTATCAGGAGGTCGTTTGGGATGAGTCTGGTAAGAAGGGTGATTCGGCTGGTTTCAGATAGATTGGAAATGAAAATAAATGCTGAAATGCCCTTTTCCTGTAGAAAATACTCAGTTCCAGTGGTGTACCGCTCCTGCGGACTCACATACTGCACGCTGGTATCTGCAGCCTTGGGGGGCGGGGGGGTTTACAGGCAGCTGCTTAGAAAGGGGGACAGATGAAACCAAAACCGGGTTAAAAAGGAAAATTATCGTGTTACTGTACTCAAGGTACGTTGCTGGTCAGCTCTGCAACGCAGTCTTGCTCACGTGTGTTAATTTTGGACTTCTTGCTTTATTTCTAATTGCCCTGTGTTTGTATCCTTGTGGTAGTCTTGTAGAATGACTTTTCTGGTGGGTAACGCACAGGCAGATGGTGTGAACTGAGTTTTGAGGAATCGGTAACCGCAGCAGCCCCTCCCTCACCAGGGCGCGATAGGCGGCAGAATGCTTTTCCGCACTCTTGATCCTTCTGCCTCTGATTTTCGCCGTGTGTCCACCTGAAACCTTTCCCCCTCGTGACGTGGCTCTCCTGTGCAGGTGGGTGTTGTCTCCTGCCGCTCCCGGCGCGTCCCGTGTTGCGTTGCTGCGCTCCGGCTCCGGGCAGGTTTTGCCGGCGGGCGAAGGAGCGCTGAGCTCCCTTCGAAGCCGTACCCGCCCCTGGGCTGCATCTTGCCTGTTCCTTTTCCTCTTAACCCAATTATTCCTTGACTTTGCTTCGACTCTCCTGAAAACTGCTTGTCTTTTTCTTTTGAATCCAATTAAATATATTGTGATTAAAAAAAAAAAAAAAAAAGCCATTATCACATACTTACTCTTCTCTATTTTCCTCTGAACTGTTTGTTCCTGGGGCCATGTGCCTGTTGCCTGCCTCGCGTCCCCCTGGTGCTGTCTGGTCTTAGTCTATGGATCACCACGTTGATCCGTAAAAAAAAAAAATACAAACACAACAAGTATTTCTGAAGGTTTTTATGCTGGTAGGGTTTTAGCATTAAATACCATTACTCTTTTTAATTGCGCACAAATAAAAAAAAAAAAAAAATGCCACTGCCGAACTCCGACTGTTTAACTTTTGCATCCAACAACTGAATATCCTGTGTAGAGCAGACCTGCTGAAATGAGCCTTGGCTTAGTCATTTACATCTGGTGTATGAAACTGTAAATAGATTTTTTTTTTTTATTTTTTTTTTTTTTAACAAAAAATGCTGGTAATGTTGGCTTTTTTTTCTTCCCTGTGTGAAAATCAAAGACTGCTGTGTTCTCTTTAATTGTTTGGGGTTTTTTAAATTAAAATATGATATAGTACGTTTTTGATCCTATTCTCACCTTTAAAATGACAGGTCGTATCACTGCTCTTGTTGCACAGCCTACATTGGTTTATTCTCTGAATATGGTTCTTTAACATGAGGTTGAATGGATGCAAAACCACAGAAAAATTAATGTCTTCAGAGTTGAGTCTTGTTATTAACTTTTTTGTTCTGTCTTGCTTTTTGCCCCTAATTCTTCAGAGTTGGAAGGCTTCCCCCTGCCCAAATATGTATGTGTGTATGTCTCTGTAGGCAAACTGTTGGGGTCATCTGCAAAAAGATGCAGATCATGGAATAGTAACAGTGAAAATTATCTACATTTTTTGTACATAAATAAAGATTTAGTATGATGCTGGTACTGTTGAAGACTTGCTTCCGAGGTCCTTGTCTTGATTCCAGACAGACCCCCTGTTATGACCTGTATGTACAGCTTTGAAACGTGAATTAATGGATGCATATTGGAGCTGTGTAAACAACTAATAAACCTGTTTGTATTAAGTTGGCCAGATAGTTTATTTAATTTAGACTCACCATTTTCAGAGTAAGCTTGACAACTTGTTTTTCAGGGCGACCTGTAAAAGAGTTCTGGATTTGTTTAGCGTGGTCCTGCTGGCCGGTGGCGTGCCGCGGTTTTTAACGCTGACTTGGGCGCCCGTTTGGTCTCGTCGCGGTGCGCTGGGGGCCGCTGCCTCGGGAGCGCTGAGCTTGCGCCACCCCGGGTGCCGTCTTGGGTCTTTTTTCTTTTTTTTTTTTTAGAAAAGACTCAGTGGTATATACAGTGTATTAAGCACCAGATAATCCAACCGTTTGTTGGCTGAGAAGTGGTTTGGGTTGGTTTTGTTGAAATATATTTGACAACCCATTTGGGTGGAGGTTGCTGGTGGCGGTGGCCTGGTTCTGTCGGTATGTGCCCAATCTCCTTCGCTGCGAGGTGCCAGCGGTGCTGTGCGATTTGCGCTGCAGTGAACAGGCTAGCTGATAGATGAAGGAAAGTCTTAAACTTTACTCGACACAGGAATCTTCCTAGGAACTTTCACTATCTTATTTTTCATCCAGACTTTCATAATACATGTCTCAAGAAACAAAGTGAGGAGAATTACTGGGTTCTTAAGCGTGTTAAGAAGCGAAAGCTGCTTTCCAAAGCACGTTTTTAAACTGTAAATTTTCTCTCTCCACAGAGCAGCTCGTGCACGTGTCAGCCAGGGGTGTAAGAGAAATCAAAGCTGCTGTGAGTTGATAAAGTAACAAATTGTCACCGATCCTTGTATCGTGCCTGTACTCGTTCACAACTAGCAGTGTGCAGGATGCCACGACGGAGCCCGTGGCGCGGTTCCTCCACGCGCTGATGGGTCGTGGCGGGTCTTTCTGCGGCACAGGGTGCAGGTTCCCGTCCGTAACCGCCTGCCTGCTGAGAGCTCGTAAGACCACCAGGACCTCAGATATCCCTGTACTTCCTTCCTCCACACGCCCACATTATTGAGCACCTCTCGACCTTGGCATAAAAGAGGAACCTGTGGGACTTGTGCTTATTTATGCAAGAGATTAAGTGATTAAAAGAACCAATTTGACACAAAATGCATGAGCCACTAGCTCTGAAGCTTTTCATCTGCTGCAGAGAAACTCAGAAGTGCAGAGCTTTTGAGGAACAACTTTCAAGTTACCCCTTTTGTATTCCTTTTTTTTTTTTTTTTTTTTTTGATGTAGGTAGTACGCGGAGATAAAGTGGCCTTCAAGGGGTCTGTCACAGGCATTTTTTGATGCGAGATTTGTGTGTTTTCTGGTTCTGGCAGCAGCAAGCCAAGTCCAGCTGCGGAGGGCGAATGCCAGCATCGCTCACCCTTCGGATGTCGAAGAATCCTTTAATGATACGCGTGCCGATAAACTGCCGTAGCCAAACCCTGGTTTATCAGTGGTGGAATATTCCTTAAAGCTGAACTCCTGCCGAGAGGAACAAGCCCCTCTTCGCCATCCTATGGACAAGAGCAGTTTTTCCACCGTGTGTTTATATCATTAATTCTTACCTTGCCTGGTGCATTTAAGAAGAATCCTGAGATAATGCAAAAAATGTGTGCATTGGTAAGTTAGATAGCTCTTAACTGGGATGAGGTGGGACAATCCCATTCTTGGGATTTTTGCTGCCAGCCAGCAGTGACGGCGGCTGTTTCATGCTGAGCCCAGCAAAGGAGTGAGAGGCCTGGGGTGGGGAGGGGGGGAAGATGTTTGGGGAGGGTATCTGGGCTTCAGCTAATTTGAGATTTAAAATTAAACTTTATTTCTGCTTTTCCAAAAGCAAGAGGTTCCTCTGGATTTTGACCAACAGGTTTCGCGGCCCGCAGGGAGAGAGAGCTCAGCTTTACAGGCCAAGTAATTTTTTCAAAAGCCATTTCTGCCTGGAAGTGAAATACAGAATATGTGATGTGGTAGAGATTTTTAGAGGTAAAGCAAATAAAACTATTGTTTTTCTGGTTTTCGGTGGTGGGTACAGATTTACTGAGGGGCCTCTGGTTCCCTTCCCACATCGGCAGCAGATGGTGAGGCCTATATATTCCCGTTCACACGGCACAGTTGGACCCATCTGCACCCCTCTAACAAACGATAGCATGACTGGAGCTGCTCCAGAAAGATTATAATTATCTTCACTTTTCTGCCAGTCAAACCTCGATCCAACCCCTGAATTATTACCCATTTCTGAGTGTGGAGAGTGGCTCAGGAGCCGGTGTTTGCTCCTCTTTTGAAGCCACTGCAAAGGATTTCTTGCTCCACCTCTACCTTGGGCTGCTTCCTTCCAGGCAAGCCAGATGGGGGCAGGATCCTCCGTTTTATTAGCAAATGATTCAAAGTAAAAGCTTGGGGTTTTCTTTTTTAATGGAATTTTGCTAGATCCAAGGTGATCTTAAGTTTAAACCTGCACTACCACCAAAAGAAATCCGCTTCCCCTCTCCCTCCCTTGCAGCATGACAGATGCCTGTGTGGGGCTTGGGGACCTAACTGTCATAAAACTACGTTTATTTGCAACCTTCTGAATAACTTACAGCTAAATCAGAGTGATGCATACCCCTCAAACAGCTTTTTTTTTTTTTTTTTTTTTTTCTTGGCACTGACATGGAGTGGAAATAGGTGGTGAGGAGCAGAAAGAGGGTAGGACGGAGGTGGGACTGAAAAAGCTGGAGATGTTGGCAAGGTCAGTGTTCCTTTGTGGCGCTAGTGCTGGTTTAGCACCCGAGCCTGCTTTCATACACAGCGTAATTTTGATGAATTCACATGGTGCCTGTGCCCAGATTCTGGCTTGCTGCTAAACAGACCCAGGCTGAGCAGCCCCACCGCAGCATAGCGTCGCACTCAGCGTCTCGCTTTGGGCAAACAAAGAAAAAAAACTTCTTCTGTGGAGCTAGGAGTGTGTAAGCCAAATGTTTTCCTGTCTAATCGCACTATCACAGTTGTTAGGCCAGTTACAGCGACGAGACCAGACAAGCTTCGAGACGGAGACCCTGCGCTGTCGGGTGGATGGGAAGCCTGTGGCCTTTTTTATGGCAATGTCCTGTTTATCGGCCTGCAACAGGTGATGCTAACGCTGAAAGCAGCGGTGGCAAACGGGAGGCTGTCATTGCTGTAAGGCGGTTTAAAGAGCATGGCCCGAAGTCGTTGCCGTGACACGGGGCATCACAGACTTCAGTAGGAACAAGATCTGAATGCTTGCATTAATTCACCCGCCGGTAGCGAGGAACCCAAAGCACGGAGCTGCACGGCGTGTTGGGAGGGGAAGGAAATCCTAGGTGGGTGTGAAATTTCAAAACCATGTTTGTATTTTAAAAATCTGAGGTCGCCTTACCTTCGCCCAGCAAAATACCTCCATCTGCTTTAGGCCTCTCCCGGGTTTCACAGGCATGATAAACTATTAATGCGACTTTGGTAGAATTAAGGAAGAAGCCTTGGGACGAGCCCTGTTGTTTAGGTGAGGTTTGAGGTGACTGATCTGAGGCTGAGGTGAGGGACAGGACTCCTGAGAAGCCATGGAAATGGGTCACTCGTGGCTGCGGCTTGCCCCGCTGTGCGTGGAACTGCGTTGCAGCCGGGAGCTGACCCGGAGAGTCGGGTGGGGGGAACCCCATGGCGAGAGTGGAACCCCCTCCCCAGGGCTGCGGGGGGTGCGCGGGTTCCTGAGCTGCCAAGTTGTCGCTCTGTGTCCTTGTGTGTGAGCCTGTGTGAACAGAATTCTTACGCAGAAGAGAATTGGGGGGGGGGGGGGGGGGAAATAGGAGCAGATTACAGGAGATGCGGTTTTGAGTCATACCATCTGTGTGGGTAGGATGTGTCACATAAACTGCCTTATTTCCCAAATGGTGGCACGTATAAACTCACTCTCCTTTGCGCTTAACTGTTACTAAGCCTCGCCTGGGTAAATGCTGTTGGTTTCCTTAGAAACTGGGTACGTCGGAGGGAAAAGCAGAAAGTGTCGAGGACGACAGTGGGGTGTTGCAAGTGGTAGAACAAAGCAGGCAGAGTCCGTTCCCGCCGCCCGGAGCGGCTGGTCCCCAAGGCAGAGGCCGGGCGACGCCGGGAGGAAAACTCACTTGTGCTCAGCTTGGGAGGGCTGTGCCCGTCCGTGCCCCTGGGAAAGCGCTGGCACCCCAGGTTTAACCTGAGGGTGGTGTTGGAGGAGGTGATGTAGCTTCAGGTGATGGGCATCCGTGTCTGAAACGGTTCGGTCAGTTCTCGCTGTGCAAACATGTCACTCAACTGCGGTTTAGTTCTTGTGACCAAACCAGAGGCAGAGCCTGAGAGTTGTCTCAAAAATGGAAATCCAAATCCAGTGTTTTGACTGAGTCTGCCGTAAAGCCTCGGTGTTTAATTCTGTATTTAAACCGACTCCAGACTCGTCCCGGAGCCCCCCCGATGGCTTCCTGAACAAGCCACCCCTCGCACGGTGCACAAGGCTTCTCCCAGCAGCAGCCCAGGTCTCGCTCTGCGTCAGCACGTGCTGCTCGGCCCCTCCCTCGAGTGGGAGCCACAGGGGCTTCGTCCTGTCCCAGCCCTGCAGGTCAGGACTAGGTCTGATACAGATTTAATGGATTTTTTTTTTTTTTTTTTTTTTAATGGCTGTGACCCTGTGTCATTAAGCATGAGGGTGGCCTCTGTCCTAAAGGCTAATACCTCAGTATCTTCGCAGCAGTAAGTCTCTTGTACCGCTGCATTGCTCAGAGGATTTAGGTTTTAGCAAACTCTTACTGCGAAGCCTGTTGCAAATTGTAATCAAGTAGAAAGCAAAAAATATAAAGTGATCGAGCCGAGCGTCGCTGTGCGTTGTATCAGGAGGTGCTGCTGTGCATGAAGCGCGTGTACGAGCTGGAGTCAAAGGCCACGTTCTCCGTTAAACGCGGGATGAGCTCACGAGACAAAAGCTGTGACGCGGCGTCAGGGCTAACGCGGCGGCCGCCTGCGTGCCACGGGGGCAGCTGCTGCCAGGGCCCCGCCTTCTGCAGGACACTGGCCTCCCAATT